TGTCGCGGAAGTGCCGAAGGCTGCTGAGGGGACTGTGAGGAGGACTGCGGGGAGGGAGACACTACCTGACGCGCGACCGAGGGTAGAGGGGTAGCGTGGGACACACCAGACGGGGCAGGACCTGGGGGGGGCGGGGGTACCGGAGGAGCGGGAGCAGGAGGAGGAGAGGGTGCGAGGAAGAGAGGGGGAGGGGGTACCGGGAGACCTCGACAGGGGTACCGGGTGTAGTAGGACACGGACTCGTCAAACCGGACGTCACGGGAGTCTAGGAACTGGTGGAGGGGAGGGTGGTAAAAGGACCAGTCAGCAGAGTCCACTGGGAAACCAAGGAAGACACATGGGACGGCGCGTGCCGAGAGCTTGTCCGCGGAGGTGTCGCGAACAAGTGCAAGGCAGCCCCAGACTCGAAAGGCCGACCCAACACCAGGGGATCCAGTCCAAAGACTGGTCGGTGAAGCCTCGGGCCGCGAGACACGCGGCTGGAGGTTCAGCTGGTGTGCGGCGTAGCGAACCGCGTGGGGCCACAGAAAATGGGGCGCACGGGCATGAATCATGGACGTGCGGGCGATGTCCATGACCAAGCCTATGCGGCGCTCAGCAACCCCATTCTGCTGTGGGGACTCTGGCAGCGTCCAGGACTGGGTGATGCCCTGTTCGCCGCAGAATCCGCCGAGAATGCCGGAGCGAAACTCGCCCCCACGGTCGGAGTGAAGACAACTGACTCGACGACCACGAGTGCCCTCAGTGGCTAGAAGCCACCTGATCAGCGTAGCAGTCACCTCGGACTTCTTCGCAAGAGGGAACACTGTGGTGTACCTGGAGAAGTCGTCGACGACCACCAGAAAGTAACGCTCCCTCCCAGACCCCTGCGTCGGGGCAGGGCCCCAGACGTCCAAGTGGAGAGTCTCGAAGGGAGCGGTGGCCGGACGAAGGGAGGAGGAGTGGGGAGTGGCGCGTAAGCGACCGGCGACGCACGGAGAGCAAGGAGGGGCAAGCGAGAGAGGGAGCGACGGGAAGGTGCGTGGGAGACCTGTGACTAGTCCCTGACTGAGCATGCCACGAAGGCGAGGGATCGACGGGTGGCCAAGACGGTGGTGCCACAGGACGGTGCGGTGGGCGAGAGAGCGACAGGAGCAAGACGCAGCGACTGGACTGGACACAGCGACCGGACTGGACACGACTACCTGGCTAGACACAGCAACTGGACTGGGGACCTGAGCCGGAGGGGACGCAACAACCTGAGGGGAGGACGCGACCGGGGAGCGCTCGGTGTGGAGAACGTAGAGACCGGAGCGGGGCTCCCTGGTGAACGTGGCCAGAACAGCACCTGTGGTAGCGTCAGTACAGACTGCAGTCCGCCCCCCCCCCACAAAGGTAACGGTGATCCCCCTGTCCTGGAGGTATCCAACACCCACCAAGTTCCGAGTGAACGAGGGGATGTGGAGGCCGCGCAAGACACCAGAGGGGACCACAGGGCACGGGAGGGTGGTGGAGCTGCGCGCAACGGCTGGTCCTGAAGAAGGATCAGCCAAAGCTACCGGAACCGGAGCAAGAAGTGGTGTGAGGGTCGTGTGGTCGCGGAAGAAACACTGCGACGCGCCAGAGTCCAGCGTGAACGACAGAGACGCCTCAGCCGGAGGCGTGTCAGGTCCGGAGGCTACACAAGCACCTAGAGCAGAAACACAAGCACCTAGACTAGAGAGGCACAGGTCTACACTAACAGGAGGCAAGCATCCTAGACTACGAACACGCGAGCACACAAATCCATCAGCACTATAGTCAACATCAGCATACAAAGCATACTGACGAGCATCGTCCATAGACAGTTCAAATACAGGAATCTTACGGGCTAGCAGGCGAGCCCAGCGCGGGGTGGTCGCCTCAGGACCCCAGCGTGCACGGTAGAGGTCGTCGAGGCGGCGGAAGCACCGCGCTGCAGAGTGGTCGTCGCGGCCGCAGACACAGGGACTGCCAGGTCCGGTGACGCACCAGTGGTCGCAGGGGCCGGTGTCGCGCCGCGGGGGGCGAGGGGCCCAGCTGGTAGTGCTGCTGCTGCGGCCAGTGCTCCCGGGTCCTCCAGGTCCCCACTGTGGCGGAGGGCCCCAGTGCTGCTGCGGACCCCACTGCAGTGGGGGTCCCCACGTCTGAAACTGCTGTGGTGCCTGCCACTGCTGCTGTCCCTGGTGCAGCTGCTGTCTCTGCTGTGGCTGCTGCTGCTGGGGCCCCGCACCACCGCTGGTCGAACCTCCTCCAGCAGGTGGGTCAGCACCTCCTCCAGAGCTCCCTCCGCCTGGGGCAACACCGCCACCACTGCCGCCCCCAGGGCCGCCTCCACCACCGCCACCTCCTCCACCGCCGCCACCCCCCTTCCCCCCTTTCTTGCCCCCCTTGCCCCGTTTCTGCCTGTCAGCGGCAGAAACAGCTGCAGTGTCCTCAGAAACCGACACAGCAGCAGAGGCACGTGTAGCAGTGAAGGTAGGAAGCTGGGGGACAGCACACCCCTCAAACAAACGAGGGGCAACTGCGTCAGTGGCTGAGGCAACAGAGAGGAGGTTACTCTCGATCTTCCCGAGAGTGGTCTCGAGAAGATCAATCGTAAGCTCACTGGGGTGATGCTGGAGAAGTGCGTCACGGGCAGTGGAGAGGCGGTCAGGGAGACGAGTGACTACCCAGTGGACTGTGAGCCAAATAGGAGGAGGAGCAACAAGAAGCTGAGCCTCAGTGCAAGCTGCTCGGTAGCTAGCGACAAGGGAGCGCAAGTGTGTGGCTAGGTCAGAGACAGTCGCAAAAGAGCCGAGGTCGGGAAACACGAACGGCATGAGGATGCGGCTGAGGGAGGCAGAGGAAGGGGTGGAATAGCGTGCAGAAATAGCATCATACACCTCCTTCGCAGTCTCTACCAGGTCGAAGTGAGCGGCCTCAGTCGGTGGAAGGAGCTCGGTCAGCGCGAGTGCAGCCGCAGCGTCACGGGAGTCCCAAACGTCCCGCGCCAAGACGAGACGAGCGTAGTCCGCCTGTGCCTCCGGAGTCGGGGGGGGCACGGCAGGGAGGGGCTCGGGACGCGGTGGTGCCTGGAGGGCGCCGGACGCGTGGGCGTACAGGGTGGCGCCGTCCTGGCGCTGACTGGTGAGATAGCGCTGAGTCTGGCGGAGCCAGGTGCCGAACTCTATCGGGCGCCCCTCTGCATCGAAACGAAGGCGGCGGGAGGAGTCCATATTGGACGCTAGGCTAGGAACAGCTGGAGCACGGAGCAAACGGAGCTAGGAGCGAGGAGCGCCAGGTGGGACTAGGCGAGGTACTGCTGGAGTACGGAGGAAAACTGAGCTAGGAACGCCAGTCTAGTAACGAACGGAGCTGGGAGTTAGCTGACCTAGGAGCACACGGCTGGAGGAGGCAGGGCTGACGAGCCGATCGAGGAGCCAGAGGGTCGTTCGAGGGGCTGGCGGAGCGAGGAGAGACCTAGCTAACAACGAACGTCAGGACTAGCCTAAACAGCTAAGCGGAGCGGCCTCCAGCCGCGACGGTGCGAAACACTGTGAGTATGAGTGACGCGAGTGTCGAACCAACGGAGGTCGGGTGGTCCTGGGTGGTGTGCGCGCGTGATAAGGGGATGTGAGCGTTTGGAAGGGGCTCTGAGCGGTTGGAAGGGGCTGTGAGCGGTTGGAAGGGGCTGTGAGCGGTTGGAACGGGCTGTGAGCGGTTGGAAGGGGCTGTGAGCGGTTGGAAGGGGCTGTGAGCGGTTGAAAGGGGCTGTGGGCGGGTGGGAGGGGCTAGCTGGCGCCAGCTGCTGGCGGCTAGGTTCCGGTGGCTAGCTGCTGCTGGCGGCTAGCTTCTGCCTAGCCGTGCTGCTACTGCAATGGACACGTTGCTGCCTAGCCGTGCTGCTGCTGCAATGCACGCGCTGCTGCCTAGCCGTGCTGCTGCTGCAATGCACGCGCTGTTGCCTAGCCGTGCTGCTGCAGCAAAGCACGCGCTGCTGCTGCAATGCGCGTGCTGCAGTGGCGTGCGCGGCTGCCGCTGGCTAACGCGCGCGCTGCTGCGGGCTAAGAACGACTACGCGGGCCCGCGGGGGGGGGGGGGGGGGGGGGGGGGGAGAGTCCCTTCTGGAGCGCGACGAAACGAGGGGCCAGTGGGGCCCTGTAAACGCGACGAAAAACGAGGCCCGCGGGGGCCCTTAAACGCGACGAAAACGAGGCCCGCGGGGGCCCTTAAACGCGACGAAAACGAGGCCCGCGGGGGCCGTCCTACCCGCGACGAAACGGGGCCTAAGGGACGGGCGCCTCGGGACCGGCTAAGGGAGGGAGCGGAAGCGTGGGAGGGAGTAAAAAACCTACTCTAATACCATCTTAAGATAGGCTAGGAGGCAAGTGTCGAGAGTGAATGTTTGAGTAAGGAGGGACAAGGAGATGCAAATGTCGACCTAAAGTGTTGTACCCTTTAGAGGGCAACTCACAGTAGCCTATCTAATAATATATAGAATATATAAACATTTGACAGAGAACTCTTTCCTGGCTATGTTTCCAAATAAGACATCGTTGGACTGCAAGCAGTGTATATCGGTATTATTCTATCCCACCTCCATTCTTTTGGGCTTCGACACAAGTCATCTTATCCAAAAGTCGGTAAACCCTGTCTACAAAGTAGGCTTGCTTACCTAGGATTCTATGTGACCACTAAAAGGTTGTTTTCATGGCCGCTTGGTGTGTAGACTATGGCCCTGCGTGGATCAACCTTCCAATTTCCATCCACAATAAATTTGACCTGCAGCAATGAAGGGGCACCACGTTAGAGCAAGCGCACAAGAATACGAAAGCACACCTACACGTGCGGTATCACACGCTGTAAATCTTCCGACAACGCACACGAGAAATGGTGCACTCCATAATGCCTTGCTCTAATTAAAGTTTGGTACAGTTTTGAGAAAAGCAGGCTGGCATGCATCGTAAGCGTTAGAGTTGCACGCGGTCGGGATGGCAAGGAACATAAGGAAGTTAGCGTACCTCGTATTGTCCGGGGTACAGATGAAGAGTTGTTACGAACACCCCCGCATTTGACTTGACCATTTTGATCTGCCATTCAAATCAAAGATGAAGATGAGCCGCAAACCAAACAATAACGGTAAAAAAAGAGAGGAGAAAAACAACACCCAAGACCAGGACAGGCAACCACAGGAACATGCCCAATAATCGAATCAGGGCAGCACAAAAAAGGGGTAGGATTATCCGTACCCGGTTGGTCCATCCATTGAAGGAGCCTGCGAGCAGCACTCCATTGCCGGGGTTGGGCCACACCACTCAATCTTGAGACATGTGTAACCTATTGGCCCATCCATACCCGGTTGCCCCATCCCATGCGTACCCGGTTGACCCATCCCATGCGTACCCGGTTGACCCATCCCATGCATACCGGTTGACCCATCCCATGCGTACCCGGTTGACCCATCCCATGCATACCCGGTTGACCCATCCCATGCGTACCCGGTTGGTCCAGCCATTGAAGGAGCCGGTGAGAAGCACTTCATTGCCGGGGTTGGGCCACACCACTCGAGTGGGCCTCAGCTGCAGCTCCCCCAGCTGCTGATCCTTCTCCTCCAACACGCGCCTCGTCTCCCTGATGAGGGTAGCAAAGGGATGGAAGGAGGGAGAGGGACGCTGGGCGACATAAATGAGCACACTGTCCTCAGCTACACATGAGCCGCCTGTAGCACTCACCAGAAATGCTCCGAACAACGGCGATGCTCTGAATGGCAATGCTCTGATCTGACCAGCAATGCTTTGAATGGCGATGGCACCTGAACCAGCAACACCTGAACGGCAGTGGTTTGAATGCCAATAACGCCTCTACTCTCCCCGCTCCCACTCCCACACGCCTGATCTCAATTGCACCCAAACCCTTAAACCCCCACACATTCGAACCCCAGCCCCCCACACGCGCCTGAATTCGGTGGCGAATCTGCCTTCGAGCGCTGTGATGTGACCTCTGCGCGAGTGGAGCGCAGCTCTGCTCGCTAGCGCAGCATCTCACTCTCCCTCCCACTCCCTCTTGAGATTTCGCCCTGGGACATCTTTTGGTTGCTCCCACCCACGTATGTTGGAGTACCTTTTGAGGGTTCTCAAAAGTGACTCCGTGTGTTCAGCATCTCACTCTCCTTCCCACTCCCTCATAAATTTTCAGACTGTCATACCCAGCCCCCCCACACACCTGAACTCGGCGGCAAATCGGCCTTCGAGGGCTGAGACCTCAGCGCGAGTGGAGCGCAGCTCTGCTCGCGTGCGCAGCATCTCACTCTCCCGAAACTCCAGAGAGTCTGTCAGCCGCAGCAGCTCGCCCATGGTGCGACTGCGCATCTGATCATGTGGTGAGAATTGGCGGGGAGAGAGGTGCAGGAAGGCGGGGAGGGGGGACAGTCAGGCAGCAAGGAAGGGGCAAAGCAAGCGCAGCATCTCACTCTCCCGGAACTCCAACGAGTCTGTCAGCCGCAGCAGCTCGCCCATGGTGCGACTGCGCATCTGATCATGTTCAGCAGGGGGAGGGGGGTTGGGATGGTGGGGTGGGGGTGTGTGGTTGTGAGGAGTGAAAAAGGGAGTGGGTGTGAAGGTTGAGGCCAAGTGGAAAGAGCAGCATCTCACTCTCCTGGAACTCCAGAGAGTCTGTCAGTTGATAGGAAAACAAAGAACCACTCAGCCACCCTGTCCAGTCCACCTCAACACTGACCTGTTCCACCTCAGCACTGACCTGTTCCAGCTCAGCATCTCGCCTACTCAGCGCCTCCCTCCCCTGCCTCAGCGCCGCACGCGTGGCGGCCAGCGATTGCTCGAGGGATCGGATGCGCCCCGTCACCCCTGCCAGCTCATCCGGGTCGCGCCTGAGGAAGGCGGCAGCTGGGGGAGGCACAACTGGCGCAGCAGGGGGAGGTGGTAACCGGAACTTGCGCACTGGTGGCGAGGAAGGTTCCTTGCTCTGTGGTCTGTTTTCTGATGGCTGTTGCGAGTCTGTCGGTAAAGGCCCTGTCTTGTCTGCGTCTGCTGCTGCTGCTGCTGCTGCTGCTGGTTCTGGCGGTGGTAATGGTGCCTCACGTGCTGCGTCTGCTTCTGCTGCCGCCCCTGCTGTGATCCCTGGCTCCTCTGTTGCAGAAGAGACGGAACCACGAGTGGCAAAAGTGGCAGGGGCTGGTGATGGTGGTGATGGTGGTGATGATGGTGATGGTGGTGATGGTGATGGTGGTGATGGTTTTGGTGGTGATGGTTTTGGTGATGGAGGGAAGGCACCCAAGAGGCGAGAAAGCACGGCTGCAGCTGAAGCAGATGCATCCTCACTATCAGTACCAACCCCTGAAAGATCAACAGCAGGAGACCTGTCACCACCAACACCAGCACCAATACCAGCACCAACACCAGCACCAGCATCAGAATCAGCACTACCAGCAGCACCAGTCCCAGCGTCAGCACCAGCAGCGGGTGCATCAGTGCCATCAGCGTCTATCCCTGCGCTGCCTCTCCTCCCCACCGTCCCCTCACTCCCTTTCCTCCCCACCCTCCGCCTCCTCTTCCTCACAGCAGGCTCATCTGGGGAAGGCACCACCTCCTCTTGCACGCCACCTGCTGCCTGGGCCTGGGAGGCAGGCTCTATCTGAGCTTGGGGAGGGAGAGGTGTTATCTGGTCCTGGGAGGGCTCTCGAGCTGCACCAGTCCCCGCAGCTGTCCCCGCAGCTGTCCCCGCAGCTGTCCCAGCAGCTGTCCCCGCAGCTGCCCCTGCACCAGTCCCTGCACCAGCCCCTGCAGCAGCAGCTATGCCACCAGCGCCAGCTTCCAACCCCTCCAGCCGCTTTCTGAACGCCATCAGATTCGCCAGGCTGGCACTCAGCGCTGCATCAAAGCCGTCCAAATTCCCCACGCTCCCCTCCACCACCCTCGCTCCCCCCAACCTCCCCACTACCACCCTCCCCTCTCCCACACTCCCCTCGACCACTCCCCCCTCCTCCACACTCCCATCATCCATTCTCCTCCTCTTCTCCTCATCCTCCGTCTCCTCTCTGCTCCCCTTCTCCCCCACGTCCTTCCCCGTGGCCCCCCCAACGCCCCCTCCACCAATGCTTGGCCCCACACCAGGCTCCTGTTCTGCCTCCCTCCCTGCCTTCTCTGCTCGCCCCTTATTCGCTGGCGGGGTTTTTCTAGGGCGCCCCACTGGTCTCCGCGGCTGTATTGCGAAACGAGGGAGTGGGGGGAAGAGGAGAGGAAGCGGTGACGAAGAAGAGATATGGAGGGAAGGAGGGAGGGAGGGAGGAGGCAAGGAGTGTGGGTGAGAGAGAGGCAAAAGAGTGCGTTTCCTCTTCTGTTCTCTGGACCAATGCAGAAACTCTCTTGAAACTGAGTGGCGCTGTTCAGGAATCAGGCTGACTGAATTGCCAAAAAAAAAAAACAAAAACAAGTGAGCACTCTGAAGGCTTTTGAGGTGCCTCACAAGAATGATTACGCAGGAAGGACCTCCGTGACCCCAACCAACCAAACCATACGACTCATCAGGAAACTTGCATGTCAGACCACATTATCTCATATGTATCAAATCGTATCATCGCACCATATCGTATCCCATCCCATCCCATCCCATCATATCATATCATATCATATCATATCATATCATATCATATCATATCATATCATATCATATCATATCATATCATATCATATCATATCATATCATATCACATCATACCATATCATATCACACCACCCACCAGCCAAGCACCCACCTTAACAGGACTGCTCATGACAACCGATTCCTCCGGAACAGCCCCCGCCCCACCCCCAGCCACACCGTCCCCCTCACTCCCACCCTCGCCCTCATCCACCCCCTCCCCACGCCCGCCGCCTCCCTTCCCCTCCGCCCCCCCTGCTGCCCGCCCCCTCCTCCGCCTGCCCAGCCCCATCAACCTCGCCACCGCACTCCACCCCATGCCCCTCCCCGCCGTCCCTCCTCGCCCCCCTTCGTCCCCTCCTGCGCCCTCTGCTGCCCCCCGCCCTGCTGTAGGTGCTGCTTCACCCCTCCCTCCTCCTTCTCCGCCCACTCCCCCCACTCCCCTCATTCCCCCCATCCCCTCAATCCCCTGCATTTCCTGCCCTGGCCCCGTCCCTGTAACCGCCGTCTCCTCTGCCCCCTTCCGCCCCCGTTGCACCCCCTCCTCCCCTTCCTTTGCCCGCCCCTCCCCGTCCCGCCATGCCTCTCCCCCCGCCTGCTCCCTTGCCAGCTGCCTGAGTGCGGCGGCCAGGTCCCCCCGCCCCGCTTGTCTGAGCTGCTCCTGAGTCGGCATGATGCCCGCCTGCCCCGCTGCCACTGAGAACGCCTGCAGCTGCTGCCGCAGGGTAGCAGGGCTGGGAGGGGAGAGAATGGAGGAATGGAGGGGGACAGAAGTGAGAACCTGAGGATTTCCCCTCGCCCCACGTGCTTCAGCTGCTCCTGTTTCGGCATGATGCCCGCCTGCCCTGCTGCGGCTGAGAACGCCTGCAGCTGCTCCCGCTGAGCAGCAGGGCTGGGAGGGCGGGAAAGGAAGGAATGAGGGAGGCCAGAAGTGAGGAATTTTCCCTCGCCCTGCGAGCTTTAGCTGCTCCTGCGTGGGCATGATGCCCGCCTGCCCTGCCGCTATTGAAAACGCCTGCAGCTGCTGCTGCAGCGCAGCAAGGTTGGGATGGGCCAGGGGAAAGAGGGGAACAGGGGACACAGGAAGGAGGACGGGGAACGGGGGAAGGGGGAATGAGGAATGGGGAAGAGGAAAAGGGGGAAAGTGGAAAAAATAAAAGGAACTGCACTCAGGCATACACTCAGGCATGCACTTAGGCATGCACTTAGGCATGCACTTAGGCATGCACTTAGGCATACACTCAGGCATACACTCAGGCATGCACTTAGGCATGCATACAGGCACATACTCGAGTGGGAGAGACTCCTCCTCCACTTTCCTCCTCTTCCCACTCAGAGAAGGCTAGAAATAGGGGCGCATAATGAGGCACGAAAGGGAGAGTAGAGCTACTAGAGGAGGAAGAAGCGATGCACATTGCACACACACGTACTCGAGTGGGAGATTCTCCCCCTCCACTTTCCTCCTCTTCCCACTCGGTCGCCTCCTCCTCCTCCTCTTCCGCTTCTCCCCCTCCTCTCCACTCCCATAACCCCTCCTCCCACCCCCCCTCCACGCCCTGCTTCCCCCCCCGTCACCGGCAATCGTCCCCCTCCCACCCTTACCCTCCCTTTCCTCACCTCCACTCCCCTCACCATCACTCACCCCCTCACTCTCGCTCCCACTCTCCTCCCCGCCCCGCACCCTGTCCTGCTGCCTGCTCCCATTGCCCCCACGCTTGCTCCCCTGAACCCCATACCCCCTCTCCTGGCCCTCTCGCGCACTGCCTGGTTCGCTTGCACCAGGGTCAACCAGAGAGCCGGCACCGGGATTGCCTAGAGCCCCTGCACCGGAATCGCCCAAAGGGATTGCAGCAGGGTTTGTTGGCGCTCTTGCAGTGCGATCGCCCATAGAGGTAGAGGTAGAGGTAGAGGCGGGGTCGCTGAGAGAGGTGGGGGTAGGGGTAGGGGGAGAGGAAGCGGTGGGGTGCCATTGAATGGCGGGCAGTCCCAGCTGCTGGAAGAGCGCGGACAGGCGCATCTGCGCGCCCTGCACCACACTTGGAGACGCCTTCCCCTCGCCGTCTGACCCTGAGGTGCTTCCCCGGCTCCCAGACACACTCCTCTCCCCGTCTGACTCTGATACGCTCATTCTCACCCCGCTTTCAGACACGCCCCTTTCCCCGCTTGTAAACGCCCTCGCGTCCCCATCTGAGCCTGACACCGAGCCTGATGCTGAGCCTGACACCGAGCCTGATGCTGAGCCTGACACCGAGCCTGACGCTGAGCCTGAGCCTGAGCCTGAGGGTAAGGCTGATCCTGAGCCTGAGCCTGAGGGTAAGGCTGAGCCTGAGCCTGAGCCTGAGCCTGAGCCTGAGCCTGAGCCTGAGACTGAGCCTGACACTGGGCCTGACGCTGAGCCTCCTTCCCTCTGTGACGTGGGACCTCTGCCCTCGTCTGAACCGGAATCCCCCTCCTCCTCTGATGACGCAGAGAACTCCTCCCACTCGCTGCTGCTTCCTCCCTCCCCCTCTGACCAGCCTTCCCCCGCTGACCATACTTCTTCCTCCTCTGACGAAGAGGACGCGTCCTCGTGAGAAGCCTCGAGCGCCCAGGATAGAGGCTCTGGAAACGAGTTACGCGAGGAGAAGGGAGGGGCAGCGGCGGGGGAGAATCTGTAAGAAGGACCCGAGGCAGAGGGACGGGGAGGGGCAGCGGCAGGCGGTGGAGCAGAGGCGGGAGCAGGAGCGCGGGCAGGAGCAGGAGCAGAAGGAGGAGGAGAAGGAGCAGGAGCACGGGCAGGAGGAGGAGGAGGAGGAGGAGGAGCAGGGGCGCGGGCAGATGAAAATAATCGAGGTGTGGGCTGTGGGGGCGTGTCAAGCCCTGGCATCACATCCGCTCGCCAGTTCGCTGCGCCTGCCCCTGCCCCCATCGTTCCCCCGCTCGTTGTCCCACTCGTTGCTCCTTGCCCCACGCTACCAGCGCTTCTCCCGTCCGGCCTTCCCACGCCTGCTCCTGACCCTGACCCCATTCCTCCTCCTCCGCCTCCTCCTCCACCTCCACTTCCTCCTACCCCTCTTGGTGTGCCCCCCGCTTCCGCGTTTCCCCCTTCTGCCCAAGCCCTCCCTCTGCTATCCGCTCCTGGGGGAGGTACGCGCGGAGAGCGCTGGGGAATGGGCGGGGAGAGCGGGGGGATGGACGTAGAGCGCGGGGGAATGGGCGGAGAGGGCGGGGAGAGCATGGCGGACCAAAACCCTGAGTCCGAGTCCACTCCGTCATCCACCGTTTCCACCTGCCGTTGACTCCGTTGACTTGAGCTACTCAGATAATCTCCAGCCCGTTGACCTGGTTGACCTGAGCTACTCAGTTGACTTGCAGCCCATTGACCCGGTTGACCCTCCCTGCCATTCCCAAGTCTTTCATCCCTCCCACTCGCCTCTCTTCCCCCCCATCCGCCAACACCACCGCTCCTCCCCGCAATCCCCATTCCATCTCTCTGCAACCATCCCTCCTCAACCCCTTTCCCCCCTGCTTCCGCCACCTCTGCAGCATTTTCCCCCGCGTTCCCCTTCCCCGCACCCCCCGTCCCCGCATCCGCCGTCCCCGCGTCCCCCGCGTCCCCCACGTCCCAGCCGGCGCTGAGCCACCCGCCGTCCGCCAGGCAAGCCGCCACGAGGTCGTGCCGCCCGGCGGCGAGCAGCTCGCGGCGCGTGGGGAAGCGGTCCGGGTGACCGTTGGCCACCATGAATTGGAAGATCGCCACCTCCAGCTCCACGCCGCCCTCCCACGCCGCGCCGCCTCCCCCGCCGCCCTTCGCGCTGCCTCCCACCCCGCCTCCCACCCCATCACTCACGCCGCCTTCCATTCTGCCTCTGCCACTAATGCTGCTGCTGCTTCCGATGCTGCTGCTGCTGCTGCCACTGCTGCCACTGCTGCTGCCGCTGCTGTAGCCATTTGTAGAACCTGAGGCAGCAGGTCTCAAACCATACCCGTTACTAGCGCTTCCGCTAAACCCAGCAGTACCGGAGCTGTTCCTACCATTACTGCTGTAGTCGCCTGTTCCCGAGACCGCATTGACAACCAGCCCGCTTCTCTTAAGTCCTGGGGAACCAGCATCTTGTATCGCGTACAGCGCTTTTCTTTTATTCGGAAAACAGAAAGGGTTTGCCTGAAGGACATCCCTTTGCCGAATGCCTCGTCTCCGTTCCAACCGCGCAATCCCCGAATTCTGCGTCACAAGGTGCCTCGTTACAAGAGCAAACTGCCGTCCCTTCCAGTGGCGACACGCACGCGACTCACAGCCACAGATACGCGAACATCGTGATTCATCGCGAGAGGATTGACCAATCAGCAAGCCGTTCAGCGACCTGCCTGAAAATATAGGCCGTTGGACTGATCCCAAAACAAAAGCCCGCGGGTAATTCGCAATACCGGCAGGCTGGAGAAACGCAGGACGAGCTTGCGACCAATGGGGAGTTGGACCCGCCACCCGGACAGCACTATGAGAGCGACACGTGGCAGCTGCTGGGGTTTGCCAGCTGGCTCCTGTTGCTAAGTCCATGGGGCCTCCCGAATCTCGAGGCCCCAACTGCCCGATGCGAGCTAATCCGCGCGGTTTCGGTGGACATGCATCGGTCGCTGATATGAGCAACCTATGTGATACGTATGATTGAAGGCACTACTACTATGCAGCTGTCGGAAGCAAGGGAGACACGACGTACGCGTGACGGGGTTGTGAAAGGTATGAAACGTATGACATGTATGATGCAGCTTGATCTCGCTGCATGATTAAGATCGCTCGCTCCACTCCGCAGGAGGCTGCATTCTCAAAATAATCCTCCTCTCGAGCGGTCATTGAGAATTCTCAGCGGTCATTGAGAATTGCTAGCGGTCATTGAGAACTCTTAGCAGTCTCCCGCAAGGGCTTCAGTTCAGTACGCCGATGTGAGTCTCTTCAGTAAAAGTGAGATTCCATATTGTCAGTCAGAATGCTGTCCATACAACCCAGTGAAGCAATCCGGTACGAGCATACCCTAAAACCATCGCCCTACACCCCTCAGTAAGCTTCCGTTAGAGATCGTTTCAGAGATTTGTTTAAGAACTTCTTGGGAAGCCTGAAGGCCCTAAACGTGCAATGAGAATCCTCCGGACCTCTCGCTAGACTGAACTGCAACTGGGAGCGAGTTTCCGCATTCTAGAGACGAAATTCTGCGAGTACCGCAAAGGTAAGACACCCGCGATCTGACATGCTCCAGGTATGAAGCAGACAGAGTGGCACTGAGCTTCCGATGCTCTGGTATGATGCTAATTGAGTCTCCGAAATGGAGCTTTCGAAATGGAGCACGTACTCACTTTCACTAAGCAAGGAGCCACAGGAAGCGAACGACGGAAGCCTGCTCCATTCAGGCAAGTCCAACAGGACCAGTCTTGAGAATTTATTATCTCAGGATTGCACCAGAGGGTGTTTGCAGGAGGAGATTCTGCAGCACAGAAGTTGGCGGGAAAACTTCGGCGCGTCCCAGAGGCTATATGTTTCCTGATTGCCTAACCAACCGATCTGGGTAGCATAATGACCGCGCTCACACGCAAATTACCACATTAGAACGTATTCAAACAAACTCATGCTCCTTCTGCAATGCAGCCATTGGTGGGCCCCAACCCCAAGGAGAGTGGTCGATGAGCGCTTCTCGAAACGCTAGCCAGCTTCGCGAGCTGACGAGGAGGTGGCGAACTGTCGCGAGGCCATGTGAAACCACAAACTCCTTTACTGTACTGTTCTACACCTTCCACAGATCGCGTTGGTAGGGTCAGATTGATCACACACGAGGCAATGGTCGTTACAGTACACCTGCGAGTGGAGTCTTGGCTTGTATTGCCACGTGGAAGCTTGATCAAGCCGTGTCGAAATGACATGTGGTCCAGGTTTTGCTGACAAGATCCAGCGCCCAGCAATCGAAGGACAGCGGCAAAGACTCGACACGTTGGATCAGCGTCAGCGAAGTGTGACCACACGAGCCTGCTTGTCCCGGTGTTGGCCACAAGCGTCAATTTCATGGTGCGCAGTGATTGCATAACGTTCTACGGTACACCACTCAAAAATCAGAGACGGCCTATATCGAATTAAAACAGCATTGACACACAATATTTGCTTCATTCAACATGCAAGCTGCATGCTGTTGGTAGACCAGTTAGTAGCAAGATTAACAAATATCATAACCCATTTCATGAAAGCACTTGAAAAAGGGCATTCAACCATGAACCTTTTTTTCTGCCATGCGTTTCTGGAGCTCCTTCCGAAGACTGCAAGCCAGGGGAAACAACAGGCCATGCGAGGGGAAACAATGAACATGGTATATGGCATAGGGAGTGCAGAAAGGGACAAATTGAACAGAAGATGAACAAAACAGGAACGCCTCAATTTCACTGCAAAACATCCCAATTCACAAAAATACTTGCTGTTTCACATACCCTTGCTCGCGCTCTAGTCGACGAATCTCCTTTTGCTCCTTTTCCTCCTCCTCCTGCTGCTTCTGCTCCCTCCCGCCTCGTCCTCGCCGCCCCCCATTCCTCTCCTTGCTACTCCCACGACCCTCCTCACTCTCACTCCCACTCTCACTCCCTCCCACACGCCCATGCTCGGTCCCACCTGCATCCCTCTCCCCGTTCCATCTCTCATTCTCACCCCCATCTCTTCTCTCACCACCACCCCCGTGAACCAACCCCTCACCACCCCTCTGAACCGCCCCTCCTCCCACACCACCCTCCCCCTCATCCATCTCGTCAGCCCCACGCCTGGCCCTCTTCCTTTCCCCTCCTCTCTCCTCCCCGCCATTCCCCTTCACCCCCTCTCCCCGCCCATCAGACCCTTCCGAATCAGAATCATCTGACCGCCCTCTGCCTCTTACCACATCTTCCCCAATCCCCTCTCCCACAACCCTCCCCTTCCGCTCAGCCCTCCTCTCGACCTCATGCCTCCCCTCCGCTCTACCAGGGCTGGGGCTGCGCTTCCCGGCCCCTCTCCCGTTGGGGCTAGGGCTAACGCTGCCTTTTCCTCCTCTCCCTCCTCTCCCACTGGGACTCGGGCTTAGGCTGCGCCGGCGGCCCATGCGTTTAGGGCTGGGGCTGCGTCCCCCTCCTCTCCCTCCCCTCCCCCTAGAACCAGGGCTCATGCTGCCTCTCCCTCCTCGTCCTCCTCGCTCCCGGGGGCTAGGGCTGGGGCTGCGTCGGTGGCCCATGTGTTTGGGAGAGGGGCTGCGCCCACGCGGCCGGGAACTGATGCCTCGCCCCCTCGGACTCACCCCCCTCCGCCTTCCACCGTCCCCCTCCCTGCCTCGCCCAGGACTCCCCCCCCTCTCCCTGCTCGCACTGCCGCTTCTGCCCCTCCTGCTGCCCGCTGCCCGCCCTCTGGGACTGGGACTCGGGCTTCTGTGGGCCCTGCGATGATCTACCCCCCTCCGCTCAGGGCTCCTTCGGAAACTACCCCGGTACGGGCTCCGCTCCCTCCCTCTCTCACTGCCGCCCCTTCCCCTATACGGACTCCCCCCATCCCTCCCTCGGTACGGGCTCCTCCTGTCTCTGCCACGATATGCTCCGGGGCTGCTGTCCCTGCCACCGTTGTTCGGCCGTGACCGGGTACCGGGGCTGGGGCTGGGGCTGCGGTGCCGCCTCATCACCCCATGCCTGGGGCTGGGGGGGCTACGCTGCTGCCTTCTCACACTGGGACTTGGGCTGCGGCGGCCAGGACTGCGACTCGAGCTTCTGCCAGGGCGTCTGGCAGGGCTTCTGCCAGGGCGTCTGGCAGGGCTTCTGCCAGGGCTTCTGGCAGGGCTTTTGCTGCCCTCGCGTCGGCCCCTCCTGTCCATGTCCCTCCTCCCATCGTCCCTCGGCCTTCTCTCATCCTCCCGTCTCTGCTCCCTGCCTCCGGCCGCACGCGCTGCAGCAGACCGCCCTCTCTGCTTTCCGGACAACGGGTGAAAATAAAGAACCGAGGGATGGCTTGAAAAACAGAGCAATAGCAATGAAAAAAAATAATTAGAAACAAACTCGGCTGTAGCGGATCGCACGTCTGTGCTCCCTGCCCCCGGCCGCACGCGCTGCAGCAGACCGCCCTCTCTGGTTTCAGGGCAACGGGCGTGAGCAATGAACAGAGAGATGGGTGGCAAAAACGACAGCAGGAAGAGACGAATGGGTGAGAAGGGAATACGGATGAGAGGACAGCAGACGAGTGGCCACAGTGCCTTGACCCTCAAAACGGCACCTGTGTCGACGAACCACCTCAACCGCTGCTCTGTCACATCACCTCAAACGCTGCTCTAGCATGTCACCTGAACCGCCTCAATTCGAGCCACCCCTCTAACACCACCCCAAAGGCAGCTCACCTCATCCAACAGCATCTCACCTCATCCAACCGCATCTCACCTCATCCAACAGCATCTGTCGCAGCCTCTGTGCTTCTGCTGCCACCTCGTCTCCTCGCCTCCTCTCCTCCTCCACCCTCTTCCTCTCCTCCTCCTCCCGCCTCTCCTCCTCTTCCTCCTCTATTCGCATCCTCTCATCCTCCTCTATCCTCTCCCTTTCCCTCCGCTCCTCCTCCTCCTGCATCCTCCGCTCTTCCTCCTCCTCCTGAGTTACACAGAAAGAAAGACAAACAGAAAAGACAGTCCCGAGAGATAAACTAAGTAACATATTCAGACACAATTGATTAAACTAAGCTAGTCAAGATTCCGAAAGTAGGAGTAAGCTGTTCTGAAGAGAGAGCAGCAATCATTCTAGGGACAGCATGGCCTCACTTGTAGCAGCTGCATCGCCTCCTCTTCCTCCAACTGTCTGCGTCTCTCCGCCTCCTTCTAATACACCTAGCAAGTCGTTCTCGTCTAAGGTGCGTGATACACTGTTTCGAGGATAGCAAGGCCTCACCTCCTGCCGCCGTCTCTCCTCCTCTTCCTCCAATTGCCTGAGCCTTTCCGCTTCCTCCTCTTCCCGTCGCCGCTCCTCCTCCTCCTCCCTGCAGAAAGGAGAGCCATGCCATGAGAAAGAGGCGTTAGATAGCATCGCAAAGAAGAGCGAGGAAGGTTACCGAGGGGTTTGGCGGCGTCTCAAAACTCAAAACGCGAGAGGGGGCATGCGTTAGGTTTGCATTGCATTGGAGGACCCAACGCAAACCCAACACACGTGTGGGTGTGGGGAATTGGCGGGCGAGAGCCGACGAACCGAGGAGCAATGAGGCGAGAGAGTGGGAACATGTGAAGCAAGGGACACAACGAACAGAGGATGAGTGAAGCAATCCGATGGTGGCAGAGGAAAAACAAGGAGTCAATTTTGTGAATTTGTCATTTGAGTCGACTCAAAAGTCAACAGATCTGTAAGCCTCACCGTCGCAACCTCTCTTCCTCCTCTCGCGCCTTCCGCTCCTCCTCCTCCTTCTTCTCCCGCTCCGCCCGCTCTCTCTCCGCCCTCCTCCGCTCCTCCCGCTCCCGCTGCTGCCTCTCCTCCTCGGCCCGCTGCTCCCTCGTGAATCGCCTTCTTCGCACGTTCCTATCGTCAAAGTAATCCCCACCGTCGATCACGAGTTGCACTCTCGCAAGAGATGACGATCCTTCCTACAAGCAACCAATCAAGTGGAAGAACGGGTGCAGGTGCAGGGGGGGAGGGATGGGGGAGAACAGGGACATGAAGGGGAGACGAACGTTCCTATCGTCAAAGTAATCCCCACCGTCGATCACGAGTTGCACTCTCACAAGAGATGACGATCCTTCCTGCAAGACAACATTTGAAGGGGGTTTGAGAAAGAGAGGGAGGGGCTTGAGGTGAAGGGAGGGGAAGGGGGGAGAGGGAGCAATAGAAATGAGCAGCACGATTCTGTTGCCTAGAGTCCCCACTATAAAACACAAGCTGCACTTTTGCTAGGGAACTGGGTCTGAGTGTGTGCGCGTCCGTGTGTGCTGTGCATGTGTGAGTGCTGTGTGTGTGTGTGTGTGTGTGTGTGTGTGTGTGTGTGTGTGTGTGTGTGTGCGTGCATATCACTCCCTCTCACCTTCTTCACAGCATGCCGAGCCAGCGCCTTAACAGCATCACAAAACGTGCTGTGGCTGCCGAACCTCACCATCACGTCCGTCTCCAGCTTCAGCGCCAAACCTGCTCCCAAACCTAATCCCAAACCAGCCCTCACTGATGCTGCTGCACCAGCAACCCCCAGGGTTCGTCCTTGTGTGACTTTAGCGGAGGGGAGCTCCTCGTTGGGGTCTAGAAGCTCGATGTTCCTGTAACGAGGGAAATATTCCAGAAGAAGAATGAAAGCAAATGACGGATTTTGAGACGCTCTATACGCGCTTAGTTCGTGTAGCGAGAAAGGATTTCCAATAAGGAGCATCTGGCGATGCATCTGATAAGCCTGCCTGATGCTTCACCTGATCGTATCACCTGATGTTGCACCTGTTCAATTCACCTGATGATCTCACCTGATGGTACACCTGGTGGTCCTACCTGACGGGGCCAAACGAGGAGAAGACGGTGTGGGCGATCAGCAGCGACGGCTTCGTGGAAACCCGCTCTTCCGCCAACCAACGGCACGGAATGCCACATACCCTCAGCGTATCCGGGCGCTTTTCCGAACCACCCTTTCTTCCGGATTCGTCTGCCAGCCAATCGCGCATCAGCTCGCCATAAGACGGCGAATATGCTGACTCAGCATGACAGACAATTCGAGCCGCGGAAACCCTAGTTTCCCAATTTCCGAAGTTAGAGACCACAGAAGATGCTGCGGATTCTCCTGAGGGTCCCCATAATAGAAGCGTGGCCACTGCGATCGGCTCGCCACGTGTGATCTTATCGAGGTTCTTCGTCCAGGAAATTGTGAGATATTTTTCGTTAAAAGACGGCCAATTGGAAGTCGACGCGTGGGATCTGTACTTCGCCTCGATCGCCTCGCGCAGCTCCCATTGGTTGACGAGCTTCGGTAACCCGTCTTGTCGCACGAAGGAGAGCGAGATCGCACGGTACGGCACAAGCGAGAGGCCATGCCCGACACGCAAGTCTGAGATATCTTCCTTCTCTTTCTGAACTAGCACAGGAACTAGGCTTGTCGCCATAGCTCCGCCGTCTCGCGAAGCACGAGTAAAGGTCAGTAAACGACTCTACCTCCCTACGAGATACGAGCATTAGAAAACGATCTCAGCCCAGCCGACAAAATGGTCCGGATTATGGAGTGAATATTTTTGGAGGGAGAGCAAGATCGTCGAACAGATCAGTCCAGGTTTCCAATAATCATTCGAGTACACCGCGATAATATATACGTCCTGCTCAGGTCAGTTTAAGCATCATAATCCCTGTTGCCTAGCAAATTCATCAAAATCCCGTATAAAAGTCTTTGGCATGAAAGGACACCTCAGCAACGAGGAGGCAGCCTGAAAGATGACAATCAGGCATCAAAGCCGCAACTTGGTGTAACCATGAAATGGGATTTGTCAAGATGGAGGAGGGAGGGAGCAGTCAAGGTGTGTCATACAAGAGGGCATAATCAACGCAGATGGAAGCCTAACTGAGGCCTAAGGGGGCCAATCAGGTGTACGGTATCAAATCAAGGGAGAATAGTATCGAGTGTCTCAGAATAGGGAGGAAAAACATTGTTTCAGAGGAGGCAGAAGTGTGTCTCGGTCGAGGAGAAATATTGTCTCAGTAGAGGGTGACGATATTGCCCATGTCCTTGGCCTCCTGACATGTTTCCATGAGCAGCCGGCTGTCATGGAAGGAGATGACTTTCGAGTCGACACAGAGTCATTTTGAGCGGACCCCAATCCCAATGGGTGCTTAAGAGTAGAAGCGTTCTAATCGAGGTAGAAGAGCGTGACGATCTTGCCCATGTCCTTGGCCTCCTGGCATGTCTCCATGAGCAGCCGGCTGTCGTGGAAGGCAAAGCAGATCACATGCTCCACCTCCGATAGAATGTCCATGTTGCACAGCCTGCATGGCGATGTCAAGGGGTTTCAAAGGAGGTTTCGGGCTTTAGGGGTCAGGGGGTCCTAGTTGTCGTGGAAGGCAAAGCAGATCACATGCTCCACCTTCGATAGAATGTCCATGTTGCACAGCCTGTCGGCACAAGGGAGTTGTTTGTCATGGGGTTTGAGGGGGGTACAGGGCTTTAAGGAACAAGGGGTCCCAGTTGTTGTGGAAGGTGAAGCCGATGGCATGCTCCAATGCCCATGTTGTGCAACCTGAGCGGCACATGGGGTGGAGGGTAGGGAGAGGATGTTGTGGGAGAGGGCCGAGGGGTGAAGGGATAAAGGTGCGGAGTCAGAAGGGGGAGCAGAAAGGGAAGAGAGGAGGGAATCGGGAGGAAGAGGATTGAGGTGGGATAGGGAGGAGGGGGGCCGAGGTGATGAAGTCCTTTGTGAGCAATTTTTGAGAATTCTAAAACATCGATCATGGGGACCGAGGTGATAGTGCGAGTGAAGGGCTGACATGGTGAGAATGAACATCCGGGGGGCCAAGGCTGACAAGGGTGTGAATGTGCATGGTGCATGCAGCCTGCACTGCATGGTAAGGGCCGAGGAGTGAGGGCGAGATTGAAGCGACTTTTGAGAATTCTCAAGAATGGCTCCAAAATAGACAAGGCGAGAACTTTCACGTTGCATGCAGCCGGCACTGGATGGAAAGGGGCGGGGAGGGGAGGAATGGCCTGGGAGGGAACGGGACGAAGAAAGGGGGAAGGGGGGACGGGAAGGAGGGGAGAAGGGGGAAAGGGGACGGGAAGAAAGGTTGTCTCAGCGTTTGAGATGTCTCAGAACTAGGAAGCTTTCTAATGAGCTTCTAGGGTACATTCTTTTGAAAAAACAGCCCCGTACCTGCTGGCTTCGAGCAGCGGCAGATGGTCGTTGTGTGGCTTCTCCACCAGGTTCTCCACCTGGCAATACATGGGGCAGCACAGGGGGAGGCAGGCAGATGGGGGGAAGAGGACGGGTATAGGGCAAAGAGATGCGGAAAGGGTTGCACACCGGTTGAAAATAGAAGCAGCAGTTGCAAGGTAAGTGGGCAGACAAATAGACGATCCATCATGCCCGTATAGCCACCTCAATTCTCACCTTCTCACCTTCTCGCCTTCTCACCACCTCACAATCTCACATTTTCATTTCTCATCATCGCCATGTGCTCTCCAGCATCTTACCCCCTGCCTCTCCAGCACCTGCCTTGCCCCGACCATCTTCCACAACAGGCTGTAGCCAAACCAGGACACCGCAACCGGTAAAAAGGGCCCTCCTCCTAAGACGCTGCCTCCTCAAGTTCTCCACTCACCTTCTCGATCCCCCTCCTCCCCCCTCTTCCTCTCCCCGCCCCCTTTACACCTTCTTAAGCAGCTCCTCGCTTTCAGGCGGCTGCTTGCCCAGCGACTGAGACAGGATGACGGTCAGCAGCCCCGCCTTCTCACCTTCGTCTACCCCATACCTCTGACTTTCTTGACCCAGCATCTTCAGCACCTTCCCCTCCTCCTGTGTACACCTTGTTCAGCAGCTCCTAGATCTCAGGCGACTGCTTGCCGAGCGACTGGAGCCCCTTCCCTAAACCCTGAGCCCTTCTTGAGCAGCTCCTGGCTCTCAGGCGGCTGCTTGCCCAGCGACTGGAGCAGGATGACGGTCAGCAGCCCGGCCTTCTCCCACCTTCTTCCCCCCCCTCCCTCCTCCCTGCTGCATGTCCCCTCCCTCACCTTCTTGAGCAGCTCTTGGCTTTCGGGCGGCTGCTTCCCCAGCGACTGCGGCAGGATGACAGTCAGCAGCTCCGCCTTCTCCGCCCTCAGCGCCCCGCGGATCACCGCCGCGTTCGTGCCTGCCGCCCCCGACGTGTAGATGTGGTTGTTCTGCAACCAAGGGGAAGGCGAGGGGGAGAGGGAGGGGAAGGGGAACAGGGGGAGGGAAGGGGGGAAGAGGAGGCAGAGGATCACCGCCACGTTCGTGCCCGCTGCGCTGCGCCTGATGTGTGGATGTGGTTGTTCTGCAAGCAAGAGGGGGGGGGAGGGGAGGGGAGGGGAAGGGGGATGCTCCACATGTGAGGCGCCTTCTCCGCCCTCAGCGCCCCGCGGATCACTGCTGCGTTCGTGCCCGCCGCCCCCCACGTGTAGATGTGGTTGTTCTGCACGCAGGGGGTGGGTGGAGGGGAGGGGAAGTGGTGGACGGTGGGGGGGAAGGGGAGAGAGAAGGGAGAGCGGAAGGATGGAAACGGGGAAGCGGGCGTTATTTGGGGGGTAGAGTGGGGGTTGGAGGGGACAGGGTTTATCCACACTTGAGGATGTCGGGGGAAGTGGAGAGAGCGGGAGTGGTGAGGGGCGGGGGAGAATGGGGGAAGGGGAGAAGGAGATTGGGGAGAGGAAGACTAGGGAGCGAGTTTTGATCATCAGCTGATTCCAAATATTGTGGATGCTTAGGTTGAAAAGGGAGAAGAGGAAAAGGGAGGTGGGGAGTGGACATAGAACACAGGACACAGAACACAGCACACAATACACAGGAGCACACAGCGCGCATCCCACAGTGATGATCATCGCATAGCTGAGGATCTCGGTCAGCTGCTGGTGCATGAAGCCCATGTTGCGCGTGCCAGAAAGAACACCCGATACAGCCCCACTCAGATCACATACCGTAATGATCATCGCGTAGCTGAGGATTTCAATCAGCGGAGCCCGCATTTCACTCACAGTAATAATCATTGCATAGCTGAGGATCTCGATCAGCTGCTGGTGCATGAACCCCATGTTGCGCGTGCCAAAGAAGCCAATGTTCCTTGGCCCCGACTGCTGGATCGCCAGCAGCTCCTGCAGATAGTCCACGTCAGGGGGGCTCCTCTGCGTCTCCGCCACCAGCGTCGTCGCCCCTGTAGTGATCGCCTCCAGCTGCGTAGGCAAGTCCTCTGTGAACATCCGAACCTCCATGCCCCTATCCATGCCCCTCCCCTGCCGCATCTCCACGCCCCTCCCCTCCTGCCTCCCTGCTAGTCTCCCCTCCTGCCTTCGCTCCAAATCCCTTCCCCCAGATGCATCTTCATCCGAAGCAGCTGCTCTCGAATTCGCGCCTCCTGCAGTGGTGGCATGCGGTCTCACGGGACGGGCACCCTGTGTGCCGCGGGTACCGTGGGTGGAGTCAAAGGAACGGCCATGCTGCGCCTGCTGGCAGTGCAGCACCGTTGAGCGGAGAGGCAAACTACGCCTTGGGAATGCCGAGCTGGAGAGGCTGATGAGGTTCGCTCGGTGGTGACTGGTGACTGGTGTGAGTGGTGCCACGTGTCCGTTTGGGCGTGAGGTGCGCCTGGGAAACCAAGAGGAGTTGAAAAGACGGTGAGCGACTTGATTGAAGAAGGGATCTTATAACGAGTACTGAGTGACCTGGTTATTAGGATGGCTTCTGGGACGTGTCAAAACGCGTGCGTGTGAGGTGGATCTGAGGATCGACAAGAGGGATTAGGGACCTGTGGATTGAAAAGAGGATCCCAGTGGTGAGTGAGCTGGTTGATTGGTTTTTCATACTTCGTTGCAAAGGGTAGAAGGATGAGCTGCGGTGTTTTGCTATAACGAGGTTGCTTGTAAGGTTGTGGGCTGCTTTCGTCAAGGATATGATCCGTTACTAGCACTGCGCACTGGTTTGTTAGTCAGAAAGGCAGTATGGAAGAACACGGCAGCTGAATCAGAAAGTGCTCGTGAATGAAATGGCTTGAGATGGGGAACGAAAGCGGCAAAGCAGCGCCAGAGGGACGACGATAATGCGACAGAATGAAGGCGACGGCGTGAAGCGGACAGTATGTAGGCAACAGTTGAAGGCCACGAGTGACGCTAAGGATCATGATGATCAGAAGCGATTCAATGTAAAAAAAAACGGATCCACGACCAGAACCAGAGCCATGATCATCAATATGACCGTGAAACGCTCGTCTTCTTAGCCAAGACAAACACACCCAGCACGTACCCGACGCACCCAGCACGTACCCGACGCACCCAGCAGGAGCTGACTTTTACGTCGACTCGAAAATCACCCTGCACGTACCCGACGCTGTGCAGCTGCGTCGGGGAAGCGAACGCGGATGGTCGAACAGCCAACATCAGATCGCCTTGAGTGTTACCGGCAAGGGTCCAGGAGCCTATTCTACTTTCTAATAGGATATCCTAAGCGTTCAAGAAATGCCTAATAAACAATGGCTCGCACGGAACAAGGCACGCGGGGCCTCAGAAGGATGCGAATCACGCCAGGCCGGCTGTAAGGAAATAATGCTTACTGACGAACCTCCAAGCGAATATACTACTTGAACCTTCGATCATGTAAAGCTGCAGCCAAAGCTTGATGTCCAAGCTTAGGAGGAGACCAGTGTCCAGACCAAATCGCTAGGACGCCATGGAACTCGGATGAAACCAGGAATCTGTGAGCAAAAGCTAAAATCAAGGCTGGTCGAAAGATACTACATATGTTTGGCTGAACAAATGCCTCCGCGGAAAACCTGGTTGAATGGAACTATGGGCAGGAATGGTGGTTGCAAACTCGGAGTTCCTGATCTGGGCAGCAGAAATGGCGGAATAAAAAATGTTTTATTGGCGAATAGAATCAAAGCGGTAACGAGAGAGCGGGAACGATGATTGGGTCACGTGGTAAGGTTAAGGTTAAGGTTATATATTGATCGTAATCAAAGTACAAAGAGTAATCCATAGAGCAGTCTAGAAACATGGCCGAGGTGGCCAGCATCCGCAGTGGAGCACGTAGAACACACGTTATTCCTTGTCCTCGCGGACAACCGCCAGCTGCCTGGGGAGACGCTCTATGCGATGGATGACTATGGTATACGTGGTAAGGAGGACAACTTGGATTGGTCAGTATACGATTTTGTCCCCGACGAAAGGGTGCCTTTTGCCTCAGCTTTTGTCCTTTTCGCGTCAGCGCCGATGCACCACTTCTATTCCGGGCTTGGAAAAATAGTCGGTGTAATAACTGCACCCGGAAACTTACGGTTGCGTAAAATTACACAAAAAAACTTACACATTCAGCAGTGAAAATGCTTTCCTACTCATTCAGCACCAATTGCCAGCAGATGCATATGCGTGGCAAAGAAAAACTGAATAAAAGCTGGGAACTCCAAGAACTCAATGTGAGCCGCTCTTCCCAGCAGGCGGTTTAGATTTCGTTGCTGTTGCGGCAACTCAAAGTTAACGTCACAGCGGATGATTGATCGATCTCCAGACGTCCACGAAGGATGGGAGAGGAATGGCGCGAGGCAGCCTTCCACCATAGATGTGTACACGCCACCGAGACGAGCGTCCCTCAGCACAGCACCAAACACCTCAAGCCGGGCAGAATGGTACGGCACATACTCGTCCTGAGGTGGTGGACGGAGAAATGGGCAGATATAATACCGGTAGGCGGGGAGGATGTGCGGGAAATGAGGAAGCTGAAGCTACGGGAGGAGAGGGGTGATGGAGGGATAAAAGAAATATCTAACAAGTGAATCAGAAGTGACGTGTAGGGACTTGTAACAAGCTGAGGTGGTTTCATGTCAGCGAGAAAAAGGTATTGCCGAGGAGACAAAATGAGGTCAGGCGAGCGGAGGAGGGAAGCACCTGGGGCGAGGCGAAGAGAACAATGTGCTTAAAATGGATCCACTCCTGGCGCTGCAATCACAATGGAGCAGGAGACAAAGAGAACGAGACAATGAAAAAGAGGCACTGCAAGAGGCAATGCGAAAGAGACACACGGACACAGCGAGTACAGCAAAGCGATCAACGAGCCAACCAGAGTGCAGGAAGACAGCAGACGGCCACGTCACACGCACGCACACGCGGATACCCGTATGTCATTGCAGAGTTAGCAAGTCAGAATTCTCAAACACACACATGGGCGGGCGGGCTGACCTGAGAGAGGCGGTAGATGCAGGAGTCGCGGACGTTGAGCGAATCGGAGAAGGACAGCTGGCGCATGAGGGAGGAGGGGTCGAGGCGCTTGAGCAGCCACATGCCGCCCGAGACAAGGGAGTTGGAATGGTACATGTAGCCCAGGTGGGGGCCGCAGAAGGACAGGTAGAGGTGCAGGTAGGGCAGGTACGGCCGCATGCTGTCGTCTGGAAGAGAGAGAGAGGGAAAGTGGGGTGGGATGGAATGATTAGGACAGCACAAACGAACTGGAGTGGTACATGTAGCCCAGGTGGGGCCCACAGAAGGACAGGTAGAGGTGCAGATACGGCAGGTACGGCCGCATGCTGTCGTCTGGAAGAGAGCGAGGGAAAGGAGGGTTAGATGGAATGAAGGGGAATGTACAAACGAGTTGGAGTGGTACATGTAGCCCAGGTGGGGCCCACAGAAGGACAGGTAGAGGTGCAGGTAGGGCAGGTACGGCCGCATGCTGTCGTCTGCAGCGGGTAGGAAGGATGGGATAGGGGGTCACGGCAGCGGGGTGGATGAATGGGTGAACTGCATGGAATGCACATGCCGCTGGTGACGAGGGAGTTGGAGTGGTACATGTACCCAGGTGGGGGCCACAGAAGGAGAGGTAGAGGTGCAGATAGGGCAGGTAGGGTCGCATGCTGTCGTCTGCGTCAAAGAGATAAGGGGGCATGGGATAGGGAGCCATGGAAGAGACATCATTTGAACGATTGACAGGGTCCATTGGGAGAGGTAGATGTGCAGGTATGGCAGCTGGGGCCCACTATTCAGGTGGGGCCCACAATTTAGGTGGGGCCACAATTCAGGTGGGGCCCACAATTCAGGTGGGGCCCACAATTCAGGTGGGGCCCGCAATTCAGGTGGGGCCCACAATTCAAGTGGGGCCCACAATTCAGGTGGGGCCCACAATTCAGGTGGGGCCCACAATTCAGGTGGGGCCCAAAATTCAGGTGGGGCCCACAGCTCAGGTGGGGCCCACAGCTCAGGTGGGGCCCACAACTCAGGTGGGACCCACAGTTAAAGCGGAACCCACAACCCAGGTGGGTCCCATAGCTCAGGTGGGACATGCCCGCAGCCCAGGTGGGGCCCAAGGAGGGGCACAGGTAGATACGGGCGGCATCATACATCTATGAGTATGTGAGAGCAAGGCCAAATGGCCTGCCAGTGCCACCCATTACCTGCCAGTGCCGCCCGCACGACAAGGTTCCCAATCGAGTACCCCACAAAGGACAACCGTTGCAACACATTCTTCCTATTGGGCCGGTCAATCGGCCCAAACATGCTGCGTAACGCGGTTACCACCTCATGCGCCAGCCGAGCTCCCATCGCCTCCACCCCACTCAGGTCCGGGGCGCGGGCGGGCGAGTGCGACGAGGAGGACGGGGAGGGGGAGTGCGGGGCGGCGGAGTTTGTCTCGTTGCTCTCGGCCATGAGACACTCTATGTCGGGGTCTAGCAGACGCCAGCTGTCACGCACGAGCCTTAGGTCCATGCGGTGGCCCTGATACCCGTGCACAAACACCACCACATGCTTTCCCCGAGTCGCCTTCTTGCCACCCTCCACTCCTGTCGAACCTGCACCAGATACACCGGGGGATTCTGTGCCTCTTCCTCCTGCTGCTGCTGCTGGGCTGAGAGATGGGAGGTGGTTGAGATGGGTGGAGATGGGTGGGCGGTGGGGCGAGGAGAGGCAGAAGGGGATGGAGGCGGGCGGGTGGGTTTGCAGGGAGGAGAGGAGGGAGTCGAGAGAGGTGGAGGTGGTGGGGAGGAGGGAGGGGGAGATGGGGAGGGGAGGACTGGGGAAGGTGGATGTGGGATAACTGGCATTGATGGCCGAAGCAGCAGCAGCAGCAAAGCTGGCTGGTGAAGCAGGAGTGGTGGGAGTGGAGGGAGTAGTGGGGATGGTGGGGGTGTGGGGCGTGGGCGTGAGAGGAGGAGAGGAGATGGAGGTGAGGGAGAGGGGCAGCAGCGAATGGCAGAAGAGCAGAGGCTGCATGAGTGGGCGCGAGTAGAGACGCATGTCCTGCAGGCAGGACGGCACTGAAGGCAGTGCTTGCTGGGGGGAAGCAAGCGAGCAGGCAGGGCGGGGAAGAGGAAATGGGTGAGAAGTTGGGGTTATTTGTGCATGGATGATGGTGTGAGAGTGAGCAAGAAGCGCGGGAAGGAGGGGAGGGGTAAAGGGAGAGCGAGGCCGTTCTGTTCTGTGTGTGTGATACCGTCGGGCGAGTGACGGGTCCGATGGAGAGGAGGGGGTGGGAAAATGATGGTGGAGGTGAGGAAAGGAGGATGAGGTGCACCAGGAGAGATGCATGGAGAGGGACAAGAGGAGAGGACGAGGGCCAACGGCGGGAATCGAGAAGGGGGCAGGGATGTGGGGAGTGGGAACGTGAAAGAAGGGGAATGGGAGAGAGGAAACAAGAGAAGAATAGGAGAGGAGATGAATGAGAGAAACGGGAGTGGGAGGGTCGGGTGGGGAGGGGTGGGAAAGCAGGTCATGGGATGATGAGAAGAGAGTAGTACCAGGTTCAGAGTGGTGGTGAGGGCGGGTCGAGGCAGCAGCTGCGGCCGGCACGGAGGAAGGGAGAGCACGGCGGAGGGTACTGCAGGCATGGCCGCCCGCACCTGGCGGGCCAAGGCTGCTGAGAGGAGGGCGAGCTGGAGGGGTGCGTAGCAGGGCGGGGTTGAGGGGGGGAAGATGGAATGGGGATGCATAAGGCAGGTTAGGATAGTGTGTGCTGGGTTCACAGGGAGGGCACGGCGGAGGGCACTGCAGGCATGGCCGCCCGCACCTGGCGGGCCAAGGCTGCTGAGAGGAAGGCGAGCTGAGAGGGATGTGGGACGAGAGAGGTGGGTGGGTGGGTGGGTGGATAAGACAAGCGAAAGACAAGCAAGCAACTCACGTTGCTTTCCTTTTCTTGCAGCATGGAGTGCTTGGCAACAGTGACACCGGGCCAGTGGTGTAGGCAAGTTTTTGAGCCGTCATCAAAACTAGAAGAGAAAGACAGGTGGTGTTTGTGTAGACAGCTGCTCTCTGTCTGCATGGGCGAGCAGGATGCATACACCCACGGCACTGCTTCCCCTGCCTAGATCGGCCGATTCTCCCTTGGACCATCTTACACAGTCAGGCTTACACTCTGGAAACAAGCTATGCACAACATACGAGGCATACACGACGTTTAAAAGTCATGCAAGTGACTCACATCGCTCTGTTTGTCCGGCGGCACGAATTGCCTGGCTGTGGTGACATCGGGCCAGCGGTCGAGGCCAAAGAGCTGCTCCGTCTGCACGGGCGAGGAAGACGCATACACCCACGGCGCTGGTGCCTCACTCGCCCGATTCTCACTTGCACCACCCCACACAGTCAGGAAGACAGGCTACTCACATCGGACTGCTTGTCTTGAGGCAGAGAATGCTTGGCAACAGTCACATCGGGCCAGCGGTCGAGGCCGAAGAGCTGCTCCGTCTGCACGGGCGAGGAGGATGCATACACCCACGGGGCTGCCTCCCGTGCTTGGTTTGCCACCCACTGCTGCCGCAGCACAGTGCAAAGCTCCACGTGGCACAGCCTGGTTGGACGGGAGGAGGGGCGTGGACAAGTGGGATGCATGGATGAGCGACCACTTTTGAGAATTACCAAGAGAAGTAGGGGTGGGAAGCGCATGCAGAAACAGTCCACTCGCCTCCCGCATGTCAGGAACCTGCTTAGGTTAGCAAGTGCTTTGGCTTTATTGCTTAGGAGGGGTGGTGAGGAAGGAGGGAGGGACCGAGTTGGACAAAAACGCTTTCACAGGCACGCAAAACTAATAGACGGTCAGTGCTTGTTGTGAGGTGTCTAAGAAATGAACAAATGCAGTCAGCAACAACTCACTTGTGCATGCTGAGGAAGGACGTCCAATACGCAGTCACGAGACCCTTTGCCGCAACCTTCACTGCTTCCACTTCCTCCTCCGTTATACTCACACTCCCAACAGTCACAGCCACCCCGGTGGTGCTGGTTGTATCCCTCTTCCCCACCTGACTGCCCGCCCCATCCTCTGCACTCAACTCCCCCTTCCCACCGTCCTCTCTGCTTCCACCCCCAGCATCGTTAACCCCATCACTCACACCATCACCACCATCACCACCGCTCGTCACCGTGCCCGACCCACCACCACTCTGCTTCCCTCCCCCATCACCCCCCACAGCCACACCTTCTCCCTCCCGCTCCTGTGCTCGCCCCTTCAATCCATTGTCACCTCCGTTACAGTCACCACCACCCCCTTCACTGCCCTCTGCAGCCTCACCACTCCCACTCGCCCCTCTCTCTGCTGCTGCACCTGGCCCCTCACTTCTGCTCGCCTCCACTCCACCGGCTTTCGCCCCTGCCCTGTCAGCATCTGCCCCGCCAGCATCTGCCCCGTCAGCATCTGCCACGTCAGCACGTTCCCTGTCAGCATCTGCCCTGTCACCATCTTCTCTGTCGGACTGACCCATCAGCTTGCGCAGTGCACTGGCGAGCACAGGAGAGCAGTGTGACTGGAGAAAGGGGGAAGGAGAAGGGCCAACGGAGACGGGAGGAAGGCAGTAGGGATGAGAGGGAAAGTGGGGAGGGGCAATGAGAGAGTGAAGGGTTGTTTTTTATCCCAATAAGCTGTATGCACGCCGATGTAAAAGAATATCTGTAACTGTGAATGGTTATGTGACCATGAAGAGAAATTATACACCCACACTCACACACACACCCACACCCACACCCACACCCACACCCACACCCACACCCACACCCACACCCACACCCACACCCACACCCACGCCCACCCCACCCCCCTCCCACCCCCCCCAACCCCAACCCCCCGCACACACACACACACACACACACACACACACACACACACACACACACCCACCCACCCACCCACCCACTCCCCCCCCCCCCCACACATACATTCACAAACACACATTCACACACACACACACACACACACACACACACACACACACACACACACACACACACCTGTTCGGCCATGGAGTCGAGGGCCGGTTGCAGGTGGTGCAGGTTGTATGTGGCAGCGAGGGCAGCGTTGAGGGAGCGCAGGAGGAGAGCGGATTCGAGCAGCAGACACGCCATGGTCCTTGTTGCGGGGTCCGCGAGCTGCAGAGGAGGAGGGAGTGGTGTGTGAAGGGAGCAGGTGAAGGAGGAACTAAAGTGAGTGCACGGAGAGAGAGAACTGCAGCAGCGGACACGCCATGGTTGTAGTTGAGGGGTCTGCGAGCTGCAGGGGTTAAGGGGAATGGGTGTGATGGGCGGAACTGGAGCGAGCACACGGAGAAAGAGGATTTGAGAGCGACAGAGAGCAAAGGGGAGGAGAGTGTGGGTGTGACGGGAGCAGCTGGTCTGTGAGCGCACAGAGAGAGGACTCAAGCAGCAACCAGTGGCATGGTTCTTGTGGATGAGTTTGCGAGCTGCAGGGGAAGTTTTTTTAGTTGACTCAGATATCACCTCTGGGTTTGCGAGCTGCAGGGAAAGAGTGAGTGGGTGTGAAGGGAGGAGCTGGTGTGTGCATAGAATGACATCCCATGGTCCTTGTGTGGATGGGTCTACGGGCTACATCACCTCTGTTGCACGCTCACAGCCAGACGCACACATTCCCTTGCTCACATTCTCCTCTTCGCCTTGCCATTCCTTTCCTTCTCCCTAGCTCCACAACCCCCTGTTCCCCCGCCCACCTGCCAAATCTCAAGGCATCTGAAGAATCCCCTGGCATGCACGGTCACAGCCCGACAAACCCACTCCACTCCGCTCCTTATCTTCTCACCTTTGTCTTGCCATTCTTCTCCTGCTCCCCTGCAGCAAAATTCCCTTTGCTCCTCTGCCTGGTCGCCACAGACCCCGCTGCATCCCCATTACCCGCCACACCACCAGCAGCCTCCCCACCTCCGACGGGAATGCTCTCTAGCATCGCATCTGGAGTTGGCTCCCCTGCCACATCAATACCCGCCACCACGCCGCCACCCACCACGCCACCCTCCTCCCCCTGCGCCCCACCAAAGCTACCCTCCGCCTCATGGAACTCCTCGCTGCCCTCCTCCACATGGCCTCCTGACCCTGCCCCTGCTGCTGCTCCTGATGCCGCTCCTGCTGCCGTTGCTGCGACACTCCCTGCCCCTGCTGCATCTGCTGCTGCTGCTGCTGCTGCACCTGCAGATACAGCAGCGTCATCTGCAGCTGCACCCTCGTCTGCACTGGCAGCACCAGCCAAGCTGCCTCCACCACCACCAGCCGTGGGAGCATCAGCAGCAGTGGCAGTAGGGGCGCTGCTGTCTTGAGATGCAGCAGCAGGGGCGCTGTCAGCCTGGGATGTAGCGGCAGGAGCGGGCAGCTGGGAGAGCGGTTGCGAGGAGTTGTCAGCGGTGTAGAAGGTGATTGGAGGCAGGTCTGCCGGTGGAGGGAGTGTTGCAGGCGGGAGTTTTACCGGACGCACAACCCTGGGAGTGGCACGGGGGAAAAGGGTGTTTGGAGTGGTGGGTAAGGGGTACAGAGGTCTTGCGGAAAGGGTGCTGAGATGCTCGTGCGGGGAAGGATTAAGGGAGGTGGTGAGAGAGCGGAGGGAAAGGAGGAGGGGAAAGGGGAGGGGAAGGGGAGGGGAAGGAGGGACAGAGGGGAGGAAGGGAGAATACATAAAGAATTCTTCATAACTTGATTATTCCACATTCCACCCAGGGAGTAACACTATACTATACCTAATAGGACAACATCTACTGACCTGGGTCTATGCGTGGAGTGCAAGGGCGGGTTGGAGAAGTGCAGCATGGCGGCATGGACAGTGACGTCCAGCTGAGCAAAGCGCATGGTGTCGAATGTGACGGGCGTGTACTCATGCACGTGCTGCCTGCCACATGCCCATGCTGCCTGCTGCAACACATACACATGCGGCCTGCTACCACATGCCACTTGTGTTTGCCGAGTTCAGTAATACACTCCTACTGACCTGGGTCGAGGGGCGGAGTGGAGAGGAGGCTTGGAGAAGTGCAGCATGGCGGCATGCACCGTAACATCCAGCTGAGCGAAGTGCATCGTGTCGAATGTGACAGGCGTGTACTCGTGCACGTGGTGCCACATGCCGCCCGGAATGCGCACGATCTGCCTCGCCACCGGGTCCAGGTCGTCAGGGGGCACGTTGCCCCGCCCTGCTGTGAAGGGCGCGTGGAGGAGCTCGAAACGTAGAGAGACAGGTTCGTCGAATGGCCTCTGTGCATAAAGTGGGGGGGAGAGACACGAAGATTTGAGCGGTGAGCATTAGAGGCGTGTCATTGGATCCAGGTGGTCAGGAGGCACGTTCCCCTGCCCCCCTCCCCCCCAATCCGCACTATCTGCCGCGCCACCGGGTCGAGGACGTCAGGAGGCACGTTCCCCCGGCCGGCCTGCTGTGAAGGGCGCGTGGAGGAGCTCGAAACGTAGAGATACAGGCTCGTCAAACGGTCTCTGGAGGAAGGGGAACGCGGGGCGCACAAGTGGGAGAAAAGACACACGACATGAGAGGCACGCTGCACGCATGTGAGTGGAGGCACGTTGCCGCAGCGCACTGTGAAGGGCACGTGGAGGAGCTCGAAACGGAGTGAGACAGGTTCGTTGGATGGCCTCTGGGGGACGAGAAGGGCGCACACACGCAAGCACATACAAGCACACACGTACATACCTTTTGGCGCACGGGCAGGTGGAAGCAGGCGACCTCTCGCAGCCCCACGTCCTGGCGTGTGCGCGCCAGGTGCACACACCAGGTGCTTTGCCGTCTCAGCCCACCACTGCCCTACTCACACCACTGCACCACACGCACATACCTTCTGGCGCACAGGCAGGTGGAAGCAGGCGACCTCTCGCAGCCCCACGTCCTGGCGGGCGAAGCGGATGCGGAAGTAGCGCGAGTGGTAGCTGCTGTTGCTGTCGTCCACCCGCCATGACGTCAGCGCCTCACCCTTGTGCGTGTCTGGGACTGACTTGTTGAAAAGAGAAAGATGGATGGTTGCAAGGAGGGAGGAGAGGCGGTTCAAAAGAGTTGGAGAGACTCAAAAGTGACTTCTGGGAAGTAGCACGAGTGGTAGCTGCTGTTGCTGTCGCTATCGACTACCCGCCACGACGTCAGCGCCTCGCCCTTGTGTGTCTCTGGGACTGGGGTTCGAAGGGAGAATGAAAGCAGAGGCAGGGGAGAATGGGACTCTCGTGGTAGGCTTGGCGTGCTCACCAACAAGGCAAGCAGAATCAAGGGCGGATGTCAATCGACATAAAATTGTCAGTCTGGAGTTGATGAGGATGGCAATTTGTTTGAGTTGAAACGTCGGGGATTGACGGGATGTCATTAAAATGACATAGACTAATTGAATGTCACTGAAATGTTAGAGATTGATGGGTTTTGTATAACAATGTCAGGGATTGATTTGATGGTATGGTGTCTGAGATTGGCTGAATTTCAATAAATCGTCATGAAGTGATGGAATGTCATTGAGATGTCATGGAATGTCAATGAAACGTCAGGCATTGACTGGATGTCACTGAAATGTCAGGGATTGATGGGACGTCATTGAAATGTCAGGCATTGATGGGATGTCAATGAACGTCAGGCATTGATGGGATGTCATTGAAATGTCAGGCATTGATGGGATGTCAATGAACGTCAGGCATTGATGGGATGTCATTGAAATGTCAGGCATTGATGGGATGTCAATGGAATGTCGGGGATTGATGGGATGTCATTGAAATGTCAGGCACTGTTGATGGATTGTCCAAGAAATGATGACGCAATGTCAGTCAAGGAGGAAAGGGAACACAGCAGAAACTGTATGCTCACTAGCGGGAAAAATCAGAGGGAAGTTCACGACGTGTGCTGCGTGCACGCGAGTAACGGGAGGCTGACGGCTCACATGCGTATTGCAGAACGCGTGACGGAGACGCCAGTCGCCCCGAGCTGTCCCACACGCATTGCACCTTTACGCCGTACCACCTGCGATTGCACGATGCCACGTCAACACGGATTGAAACCACGGAGATCCAAAATACTGATATACTCGAAACGAAGCCACACAGAAAAGACATTCACGACCAGGGAAGTGGTTACTCGCGTACCCTTGTTTCAGCAGGTCGAGGTTATGGAAATTATGGAGGTACACTGCTACCTCCAGCTCTGGCTGGTTCGCCATTCTTGACCGTTGATTCGCCTTACTCAACGACGCTGCTCAGTAGGTCGAGGCCGTAGAGGTTTCGAGAAATTCGCGCAGGGAATTTGGCAGCTCTGGCTAGTTCCTCATTCAGTTACAAGGCTGGTCCGAATTACAGTACCAGGGTCAAAGAGGAATGGTCAAGCGTATGAAGAATGACCCATTGCGAATCACGGCGGTAACTCAGGTGCTAAAGAGGCGAAGATAGAGAGCAGCAAGAAAATCAGTTACAACGCACATATCGAGCACGAACGAGAGACCTAGCCATGGGCGAACGGAATCAGTTACCACAGGTATTGCGTTGAAATTAGTCCATTCAGAGACTTGCTCAACAGATGCTTCTGCTGGATTTGGGGAAACAGTGAAGGGAGAAGGTGCTGTAGCGTGAATGCCCCCAATCCCGATGTTCTCCCATCCCAACCAATGCTGCTGCTGTGCTGACCTCATTTGGAGAGTGAAGCTCGTTTGGCACAGCAATTGCAACTGTACACTTGGTCAGGATTGCCTGCTAACTTCAAATATGTCTTCCTATACTCCTGTTTGGTTTCATATCCAAATTTGCCTTGGGATCTTGGGCTGCCAACACAGAGCTTCTGAAAAGCAAAATTCCATAAAGCCTCTAGAAATTAAAATTAGCTATCTATGATCAAATCAGCTTCTCATGGCTACATGCTATGTTGGCTTCTCATACGTGTTGGCATCCATCCAATCACGGCACATCTTCTGCACCATGTCTGCTGCATCCGCTAGAATCAACAGATGGGTATCATCTAGAACCTGAGGAATGGGCACAGACAGCGAATGGATGGATCACGGAGCGAATGGTGACATGAATCAAACGAACAGTCATGCCTGCTTCAGGAACATGCTGATTCAGATACATGCAGGTCACTGCCGATATTTCTCAAAAGTGAGTCAAACAAGAAGCAGTGAGAGCTTGCAAACGACCATTGCACCTGAAGAATGAACTTCTCAGCGCCTCCTCTCTTGCTGTCCAGAAAGATAATATACTGTGCCATGGGGATGTCGCTGGAAGAAAAGAGGCGAGAGAACGAGAGGGGGTTGGAGGGGAGGGGGGACGGAGATGATGGTGGGAATGTCAGGCAATCGCGAGAGGGGGAAATTTTGCAGGAGAAGTTGCGGTGAGCCTTGCGAGTGTTGCCCGGGGAAGACGAGGTAAGAGACCCCAAGGAGAACGGCAACAATGCGATTGGTTCCACGGATTCGGACAGCTAATACCGCCGGTGATTGCACGAATTCGGTGCTGCGGACAACGAGGCGACAGGCGGAACAAGAGCCGTGAATGGAAGAACAGAAGAACGGACGATCTTAACCAGCGCTTACGGACCATTCAATAAGGACTCCCTTCTGCGCGTTCACCATCCTGCGCGCATCGCTGTTCACAGCCACTAAAGCTTGGTTCCGCGATTCACGCTACTGCGCCGTAAGCTGTTAATGCTACTGCCTATTGTTGCTACGCACGACAATAAGAAAACTTCCTGGATGACCATAGATTCATGGCGCCTCATGCATCTTGAAAATTGTGGAGGGAGGGAACTGATGAGTGCCGTCGTACCCGCCATTGAGTGAGCTTAAAGTGGTTCAGAATAAGGAGCTCACTCGATGCATTCCATATGGGCTATGACGAGAAACCCTGTATTGTAGCAACCTAGGCCACCTGTAAATGTAATATTCTAAAAGTAATTAGGCTTGCTTAATTCCGAAACAAATATTTATTATAAAGCTCATCACAGTCCCAGCACATGAATTTCTTCGCACGCCTCAATCAAGACTGGGAGTGCGTTGTGCTGGCAGACGATGGCCTGCGGTCAAAATTGAGCGACGCCTTATCAAATATGTACCCAAACGTCCAATCGTACGATGCCACGTCGACACAGGAAGCCAGTGTGGGGTTTCGTCGCATGGCAAGCTTCCGTGCCATGGTGATCCGTGCAGGCAAGGGCAGCTGGTTGAGAGCCCACTCCAAGAGAGCAGCATCTGAATCAGCAAAGTCAGTTGCATGCCTGGGGGGAGAGAGGGAAGGGGTGGATGGACAGAGGAGGATGGAACGGAATGACGGCAAGACCGTTGAGGTGCCACGGTACCAATCCAACCACGCTAGGGCAGCTGGTTGAGAGCCCACTCCTAGAGATAAGCATCTGATTAAGTCAGATGCATGCCTGGAGGGCGGATAACCTTGTGACATGATCACCAAGCGATGTGTTCACACAAAAAAAAAAAACACAAAAAAAAGGTACCTGAAGAATTTGTGCAGGCAAAGAACCTCTAAGGTCCCATCATCACCACCACCACTTGCATCATCACCAGCGTTCCCACTAGCACTGACCACTTGAGGAGGCGGGGGAGGCAGACGCGGTTGTCAGCAGTCATGCCGATGCAGCTGGCGAGATAGAGATCCCTTGCATGCTCCAGCTGCGATTGCAGGGAGTGTGGCAGGTAGGCTCGCAGCACAGGCGCGCTGAGCGACCCTGGTGAGAGAGCAAACGACACCAGTGGCTCCGCCTCCCCCACCACCCACTGCTGCCTCGGGTCATCTGGCGGAAAGGGCGTGGCGTTCAGTGCCTTGGCCTGGAAAACGGGAGGAAGAAAGGAGAGACAGGAGGGGGAAACAGGAAAGGCAAGGTGTGGGGAAGGGGGGAGGGGGGAAGATGTGTGTTAACGCGAGGAAGACAGACGAGGCATGGAGGGAGTGTGGCAGGTAGGCTCGCAGCACAGGCGCGCTGAAGGACCCCGGTGACAGAGCACACCAGCGGCTCTGCCTCCCCCACCCCCACTGCTGCCTCGGGTCATCTGGCGGAAAGGGCGTGGCGTTCAGTGCTTTGGCCTGTGATGGAAGTGAGTGGGGGCAGGAGTTTTACAGGGATCAGGGAACAATGGTTAGGAGTTTGAGACGTCTCTATTGTTGCCAGGCTCAGCACCCACTGCTGCCTCGCGCCGCCTGCTAGAAAAGGCGTGGCGTTTAGTGCCTTGGATTGGGAGAGGAGAGGGGGGGTGGGAGCCTGGAGGGGCACGGGAGGGAAATGAAGCAGGAGGGCGACGACAGGCGGGGCAGGAAGGCGAAGACAGGAGGGAGAGGAAAGGGCAGTGAGGGGAGCATGGTGGAGCCGGCACGATGGATGAGTAGTGGAGCCGGTGCGGTATGCACGATGGGTGGGACAGTGGAGTGAGTGGTACTCACCAGGGGGGAGGGCCTGGCAGCAGGGGCTCTGAGAACAACAAACTCAATGTCGGTGGCTGTCACTGTATGGCAAACCATGGTGTCGGCGGCTGTCAGTGGGGCAGGGGGTATGCACTGTGGGTGGGTGGGGCAGTGTGGGATAGGAACTACTCACCAGAGGAGAGGGCCTGGCAGCAGGGGCTCTGAGAATGGCAAACTCGATGTCTGTGGCTGTGACTGCATGAACTCCGACGGTGTATGATGCCTGACATGTGGAGGAGAGAGCGGGGTGTGTTGGCATGGAAGAAAGTGATGTTGGAAGGGGAAGGAGAATGGAGTGGAGTGACGTGAAGTGGGAAGGACTGTGGTGGTGAGTAGAGAAGGAGCAAGTGTGACAGGGTGGAAAGGGCATTGCACTTTGTGTAGACAGAGAGGACTCACGGTTTGAGGTGCTCATGGTGCGTGTGTGCAGGGGTATGGGTGTATGGGTGTGTGGGTGTGTGGGTGTCTGTGTGTGTGTTTGTGTATAGACCGGGGGGACTCACGGTTTGCAGCAGGGCAATGCGGCGCAGGTGAGTGTCAGGACAACCGTTGGTGATGTAGGTCTGATCAAGGATGGGATGGGAGAGGGGGTGAAAGGGGACAGAACCAGGCAGGGTGCAAGGATGAAGGGTGCAAGGATGAAGGGTGCCGGAAACGGCATGGTTGAGCGAGCAGCAGTGGGTTGCACACGTTGGTCAAGCAGGCAGGTTTGAGAACTCTTTAGACTGACTCTAATTTACAGAGAGCAGGAGTGCAACGTACCGAGAGCAAGAGGGCATTGTACACGTTGATCCAAAAGACGAGCCTCTCCGTGTGTGAGAGAGAGGCAGGGTCTACGAGACGCAACTGATCCACGTAGTGCCTAGTGCAGATGCAGGGGGGGGTATGGGAGAAGAATGGGGGGTGTGTGTTTGGGTCGACTCAAGCCTCTCCGTGTGTGAGAGAGGGTGGCGGGGCTGACCAGACGCAACTGATCCACGTAGTGCCTGATGCAGGGGGGGGTATGGGGGGGGGAGGGACGAAGAGGGGGAGGTGTGTTTTGAGTTGATTTAGATCACTCTGTGTGTGAGAGAGAGGTGGGGTCTACGAGACGCAACTAATCCACATAGTGCCTAGTGCAGGGAACAGGTCGGAAAACAGGAGAGAAAAGGGCAGAAAACAGGAGAGAACAGGGCAGAAAACAGGAGAGAACAGGGCAGAAAACAGGGCAGAAAACAGGAGAGAGCAGGGAAAAAAAGGAGCTTGACGGTGAGACTAGGGGGAGAGGTTAAAAGGTCAACTTCATACCGGGAGAGCTTTGTCATAGATTTGACTATTTTGGGCATATCGTACCTGTGTCTCTTAAGTGCTGCCACGTCAGCATGCACATATGCGCCTTCCTCAGGTACAGCCTCTGCCACCACCAGCTCCCACCCTGCCCCTGATGCCCCCTCCCCTCCCCTCCCACTTCCTCCCATCTCCGCCCTCCCACTCCCCATACCCAGCCCCATTCCCCCTTCTGCCCCCATCATCCCCCCCTCTCCTTCTCCCCCTCCGCCTCCCCCTCCGCCTCCCCCTGCTCCTCCCCCTGCTCCCCCCCAGGATCCTCTCCAACCCTCTGCTCCATCCGAGCCTGAGGTTAGAACCCGTCGCCGAGGCCGAGGAGCAGCTTCGGCAGCAGCGGCAGCGGCAGCAAGGGCTGCGGCGGTGGTGGCGGCTGCAGCAGCAGTGGTGGCGGGGGAGAGGCGAGTGTTGATGGGAGGGTGGGGAGGCTGGTTTTCTCCTACTCCCCCCGCTCCTCCTCCTGCTCCGCCTGCTCCTCCTGCTCCTGCTCCTCCTATTGCTCCACCTCCCTTCCCTGCTGCTCCTCTCCCCTTTCCATCACCATCAGCACCGCAGGCACCATCCCCACCCTCTCCCCCTTTCACGCCCGGCCCTCCTTTTCCCCGCTTGGGTCCCAGCAAGGAGTAAGGGGACGCAGCAGAGGGGGAGTTAGAAGAAAGAACACGTTCAGATGGGGAGAGGCAGGAGGAGGCATGCGGAGTAGGGCTCCTGGGGGGGCGGCCAGAGTACGCGCCATCAGATGGGGAGAGGCAGGAGGCGGCATGGGGGGTCGGGCTCTTGGGCGGGCGGCCAGAATATGCGCCCTCAGAGGGGCTTTTTGGGAGGAGAAGACGCGTGCGGATAGGGTTGGGTAAGGTTGAGCCGCCCGGGTCAGTTGTGGTTGAGCCGGCTGGGTGGGCTGCGATTGAGCTGCCTGGGTTGGCTGTGGTTGGGTTGGCCAGGGCCAGTGGCTTGGTGGGAACGGTTGCTAACTGCTGCTGCTGCTGCTGCTGCTGCTGCTGTTGCTGCTGGTGCTGTGTGGACTCGTAGAGAGGGTGGAGAGCCAAAGGGGCGCCTGCAGCTAGCGGCGACAAGGGATGCTGTCTGCTGGTGGGATACTTTTTGGATGCTCTGGGATAGAGGGGCCCCGATTGGGACTTCCGAGGACAAGAGGGGTCAGGATGAGAGGGCTGAGAGGGATGAGAGGGATGAGAGGGATGAGAGGGATGAGAGGGCTGAGAGGGCGAGGGATGAGAGGGATGAGAGGGATGAGGGGGATGAGAGGGCTGAGAGGGATGCGAGGGATGAGAGGGATATGAGGATTGAGAGGGCTGAGAGGGTTGCGAGGGCTGCGAGGGATATGAGGATTGAGAGAACTGGGGGCGGGAGGGGCCAGAATGAAAGGTGTGGGAGCGGGGAAAGTCAACACCGGAGAGAGGCAGATGTGTTTGGAGAGCGTTGCTAGGAGGCAGGAGCGCATCAGAGCCTTCCCCACCCCTCCACCCCCTGCCGTAAGCACCACCCATGCGCCCCGCACCAGCAGGCATGCCAGCCATGTTACCAGGGGCGGGCGTTGAGGGGTGCACCGAGGAGGAGAGGCGCGCTGAAGGCGGGTGCAAGGGCGGGAGGTGCAGGGGCGGGGGATACCTGCCGGGGACACCGTCAGGTGCTGCTCCTGCTGCTGCGAGTTTCCAGGGGCCGCTGATGGCTCTGAGCTCTGCGGCAGTGCTGCTCTGTGCGCGCTGCATCTTCCTGCCTCCTCCTCTTCCACCTCCCCTCCCAGCACTGGTGCCAGCAAGACTGCTGCCCCCACCACCACCACCACCACCAGCACCAGCACCAGCACCGCCGCTATCAGCAGCAGCAGCAGTGCCGCGTCCACTGCCCATTCTTGCTCCTCGCCCTGCCGTAGCACCCACCAACAGAGCCCTCCCTCCCTGCACCATCATCTGCCCTCTCCCTAGCTCCTTCCCCTGCTGCCCCTGCCCCTGCAGCCCCTGCAGTCTCTGCTGCTGCTTCTGGTGCTCCTGAAACGCAAAAGAGGACGTCTCTAACGCAGACTGAGATTGTGGAATCAGCATCCTCCCGTTCTCTACCTTCACACCACCAACACCACTCCCACCGCTATTCCCTCCATCCCTCTTGTCACCACTCCCACCGCCACTCCCGTTGTCGCTATTGCCTCCTAGACTGTCAGAGTCTGACCCCTGGTTCCTCTCCTGGTTCCTCTCCTCAAGGGTGTCACCATGCTGTGCGCTGCTGTCCGCTCGTCTGAGCACCCTCCGCTGGCTCAGCTGCTTCGGAGGCAGCTGCAGCGGCTTCCCTGGGCTTCTCTGCTCCAGCTGCTTCTGATGCTCCCGCTGATTCTGCTCCCGCTGCTGTTGCTGCTTCTGCAGCTGCTGTTCTTGCTGCTGCTGCTGTCTTGGCTTCTCTTCTCCTGCTCCCTCACCCAAACCCGCACCGCTCACTCTCGCCCCTTCTTTCGCCTCGCCCGCATCACCAGAGGGAGCGAACGGGGAGGCGAGGGGGGAGAGGGAGTCAGAGTCAGAAAGCAACGAGGCTGTATCCAGAGGGGTCACAGCAGGAGGGCGCTGCAGGGAGGATGGCGTTACAGGGGGTAGCGTTGAGGGTGGTAGCCTCACAGTGGAGGAAGAGGAGGGGTTGCAGAGATTCTGGTGCCGTGGGCTGATTTCAGGGGAATTACCCGCTGAAAGACACTCATGCACGGATTCTACCCCAGACTTCAAACCGCCCTCGTCTAAATCCCCCTCGCATCCACCGCCTTCCGCCTTGCCCCCTGCTGCCCCCTCGTGCCCCCTCTCCCTGCCTCGCGTTCCCCCCTGGAACAGCCTCAGCAGCCCACTCCGTACGCCCTCCCTTGCAGCATCTGCGTTGTGATTGTGAGAGCCCAGGGACATTGACAGGGGAAACCTGGCCTTGGCTGTGCCTTTAAGATGCGGAGAGGAGGGATTCGACCCCTTTGGATCTTGTCCTCTTACCCTGCTTCCTTCTTTCCCTCCTGCCTTTCCCCTTCCTCCTGTCCCTCCTGTCCCTCCTGCCCCTTCTAAACCTTCTTGCTCCCCTGCTCCTCCCCCTGCTGGCACTTCACCATCCCCTCTCGGATTCCTCCCCAGGGACGATTTGTGAGAGGGCCGGGAGTGAGGGAGGGGGAGAGCAAGAGGGGACCAGGCAGAAGAGGAAGACGAGGAGGTGGAGGAGGGGGGGAGGCGAGGGGAGAGAGAGGAAGACACAGAGGTAGAAGTAGACTCGCTGGCAGAAAAAGCCGCAGCAACCACATCCCAAGGATTCTCGTTCTTAACTGAAATCGCCAGCAGCTCAAGAGACCTCGGGTCGAGAATACGTGCCACGTCCTCCCCTCCACCCCCGCCCCCCGCACCCCCACCCGCTCCCCCTCCGCCTCCTCTTCCTCCCCGCCGGCTCCCGCTGACGCTGCTGCTCCTGCTACTGCTCTTAACAAGCCTGCCCCCCTGCATGCTCCCACTCCTCCCTGCTACATCCCCTCCAAACCCTAAAACTGATCCGTTCAACCCTGAGCCTGGCCCGGGCGGCATTTGTTGGCTGCGTCTGGCACTGAGCGCACTGTTCACGGAGCCCTGGCGGGGGAAGGCGGCAGCCATATCTGCCATAACCCCCAGCCCTCCACTCAATCCCCCCAAGCTCCCTCCCAGACCTCCTAGCCCCCCTAGGCTTCGCCTCCAGCTGCTTCTCCTCTCCCCTCCCTGCTCCGACGCCTGCCGAAACAGCTTTGGACTGGCCACGTGCTGGGCTTTCTCCTGAGCTTTCTCCTGGGGATTCCCCTGCTCCCCCTCAGCACTTATCTCCCAGTGCTGAGGTTTGGCCGCTGTAGAGTCTGGGAGGGCCATGCATCCCGGGGGTTGGTCAGGGCTGAAGGCCTCTTCTCCTTCTGACGTGCTGCCGCTGTTAGGAGCCCTCACCGCATCCTCCAACCCAGCCGCATCACCAGCAGGCCCACCAGTATTATTAGCGCCAGTAGCATTAGAAGAGGCAGGAGGAGGGCCAGCGCCGCCAGAGTCCTGAGGAGAGCCATCTAAGGCAGGGGCGCGAGACCTGTGCCCCTGGTGCAGGCCTGAGACGTTCACGCCCCTCTCGTCCCAGAAGGCGGGGGGCAGCAGCACGTGTGTGCCGTGCCTCATGTATACAGAAGCCACGGTGCGAAGCAGAGCCACTGAGAGGTCACAGGGACGCGAGGACAGGTCCCTCACTGCGATGCCACCCGCTGCTCCTGCTGCTGCTCCTGCTCCTGCTCCTGCTGCTGCTGCTCCTGCTCCTGCTGTTGCTGCTGCAGTGCCGCTGGTTGATAGGTCGCCTGCAGTGGAGGAGTGCTTTGTGTGGTTCCGGCCTCTGGGCGTCCTCACCTCCTCGTCAGCAGAGGAGTCGTGGGAGGAGGGCGCTGGGACGGTTTCAGAACGGGCAAACGCGGGTGAGCGGGCGGGAGCAGGTGAGCGGGCAGGCACAGGAGATTGGGCAGAAGCAGGGGAGCGGGCAGAAGCAGGGGAGCTGACCCAGAGTGAAGCAGCAGTCCCAGATCCACCGCTTTTTCCTGTCACTGATCCCCTATTCCCTTCAACTCGTCCGCTGGCCCCCCCTTCCATGTCTCCCATGCCGCTTCCGTCCCCTCCTGTGCCCACACTCGCAGCTGCAAAATCCAGAGATCCCTGCCGCAATGGAGACTCCACGTCAGCATGCCCCCCGCCCTGAGACTCTCGCAGGTGACGTGGAGCCTCCACGTCACCATGCCCTGTGCCCTGAGAACCTCCTGACCCTGATGGCCCTACTGCCCCTGCTCCCCCTGCTGCTGGCCCGTGTACAGGTGGGGAGTCCAGGAAGTCACGGAAGCTTCCGGTGGCCGCTCGTTGCCGAGAGGGGGAAGGGGAACAGGGTGCACCACTTGCAGTCTCAGCTTCATCACCTGCCTCTGCTTCTCCCTCTGAGTCTGCATCTGATTGTGCCCCTGCTTCCGCTCCTGCATCACTGTCTGCTCCTGTTTCTTCTACTCCTGCTGTGGATTCATCTGCTGTGCCTTCTCCACCCGTGTCTGCCTCTCCTGCACCAGCCACCACAACCACGCCTGCCCCCATTGTCTGCTGCTCTGCCTCTGTTGCCTTTCTCCCCAGTGATACAATCGCTTCTCTGACTGCCACACCATCTGCTGCAGCGTCTGCTTCTCTGACTGCCGCACCATCTGCTGCATCGTCCGCAGCAACGTCTGCTGCTCGCCCCACTGCACTTTCTGCTGCTTCGGTTTCGGCACCTTCTGCTGCCTCCTCTGCCTTTGCATCAGTCGCTTCTGCCCTAGCTGTTCCACCACCACCGTCCCCCACACCCTCAGCAGCACCCAGACCTGTTTCATCAGCAGCCCAACCATTCAATAACTCCCTGTTACAATCACCTTCGATTCCAGGCCTCTGTTCTGTGTCACTGCAAGCAACGTCTTCTCTGCCTCCATTCATATCCCAATCCTTGACCCCCTCTCCCTCTCCACCTCCCTCCTTGCGTCTCCGACTCTCTGTGCTCCCATCCACGCCCTTCCCTCCACCTCTCTGTTCTCGCTCATCCACGTCTGAATATCCATTCTGAACCAACTCCACGCTTGCAGCTCTCACCACATCATCACATCCAGGCGACCCCCTCTCTACCCGCCCCAGCGGCTGCTGCGTTCCCCAGCGCTCAGACTCCCCACTGCCCGCCCCATAGTAACGAGGTGACTTTTGAGTCGACTCAAAAGTCACCTCAGACTCCCCACTGCCAGCCCCATCAACCTGACGAGTCCACCCTCCTTCTTCCAGCGCATTCAGCTCGCATGCCTGTTCGCTCGGCTCAGCCGCTCGATCACTCACCTCAGCCACCTGCCTACTCCGCCCCTCTTCTTGCCTCGTCTGCCCCTCTCCTGGGCCACTCAGCTTGCCTAGCCGCTGGTTCAGCTCATCTGCACCACCGTTTAGCTCACCCAAGCTGCCATTCCGCTCATCCAAACTACCATTCAGCCCATCCACCCTGCCGGCCAATACAGCATCTGACGCCTCTGCAGCTGCAAAAGCTGCTGATTCTCCTCCTGCTGTGACCACTGCTGATTCCCCTCCAGCTTCAGCAGCTGCTGAACCCTCTACAACCACAGCTCCCGCTACTCCTGCTGCTTCACTGCTTTTCACTTTGCCGCTTTTTCCCTCTTTAGCTTTCCTGCTCGTTTTCGCCTCCTTCTGACCAGCCTTCACTCCCTTACGCCCAACCGTCTTCTCCGTCCCTGTGCCTCTCTTTCCTTCAAGCTTCTTCTCTTCATGTTGATCCCCTTCATGCGTCTTTTCTCCCTGCTTCTTCACCTTTTGCTTCCTCTCAACAGATTTCCCCAGAATCTGTTCGTTGCTAGTGGCACCCTCTCTCTCCCCCCATTCCGCTCCTGTCTCCTCATTGAGACCATCAATGAAGAACCCGCTGCCGTTGCATTTATCCCCGCTATAAAGTACCTCGTTTCCCGCAGGCTGGTCGATCGTGATAACAGGATCCTCTCTAGAGTTCCGCGTTCCAGGAGTATCATTGGTGGTGAGCATGTGCATGCTGACTCGGCGTGCTCTGTGGTGTGGCGGGAAGTGACGTGACAGACGGGACACAGGGGGAAGCAGAGCAAGGAGGGGAAGATTAAACGAGGTGCGAGGAAAATATTTAGGAACCGCACACAGCAACTACGAACGCATGAGCTAAGTGAGAAAGAACCAGCAGCGGACAGGCGGTTGCAGAAAGGAAGCAACCTCTCTGAAGTAATTAGCACACGGATGGAGCAGTGATAAAGGGCCAGGACGTCTGTAACAAGGCTGTCTGTCACGAGGCTGTTTGTAATGAGGATATACATGCACACTCACAGCTGACTCGTCAGCATATTCAGCCGCTGCTGCAGCTGAAGTAGCAGCTGCAGTTGTTCCGTCTCCCCTTCCCGACCCTTCTCCAGCTCCCCAGCTTCTACCCGACTCTCTGCTTCCAACCCTCCTTCCCCTGGATCTGCTCTCTCTCCCGCGATCTCGCCCCTCTCAACCGCATCCAGCTGCACAAAACCAGCTCCAGCACTTCCAGGCTCCGCCCTCCCTTGCTGCACCAATCGCTGCAAGGCCTGTAATTCTCCAGCCACCCACGCCACATCAGCGCGGACGCTATCACCACCACCACTAGCACCACTAGCACCCCCGCCAACAGCAGCAGCACCACCACCGCCACCACCCCCTCCAGCATCAGCACCACCGCCGCCTTGCACTGCGCTCCAGGGCCAGTCGTCGTTCGCTCTGAAACCGTCCCCTTCAGAGTCCCCATCCACGCTCTCCACCTTTCGCTTCACAGACCGCCGCCAAGAGCCCTCCACATGCCGCTCTTGAAGCCCCGCCTCCTTCTGCTGCAGTAACTGCTGCTGCCGCTGCTGCTGCTGCTGGGGCAGCTCATTATGGTTCTGACGGAGAGACAATGCGGAAGGATCTGTTGCGGGGGTGGAGGAGGCGGGCAAAGGGGGTTCGGCTAGCTGCGACGGAGTGACAGGAGCCAGCAGCCTTCGCTCGTCAGTAGAAAGAATAGGAACCTCAACGCCAGAGGCAGTCAGTACCTGTCGCTCGTCAGGCCCTGCTGGCAGGCCCGCACGACCAGATTCAGACAACGTGGTGGTGGACTGTAGAGTTGCAGATTCTCTGCATCTGGACACATGCGAAGACCGTACTGTCCTGCTCTGTTCTTTGCGAGGTAGGGACGACATGCCACTAGCCGACGCGCCCTTGTGCCTATTTAAGGACTTCTTTTTCAGGCCGCCACGTGCGCTGGAGTCTCGTTTCTCGTCATCAGTCACTGCCACCTGATAGGTGTTCTCGCCTGGTGTAGACGACGGGTCATCACTGGAGCGTGCTCTTGGTACATGGTAACCCGAAGAGTTCAACAATTTACGAGAGGGAGGTGCTGATCCTTGTATATGATTACTAGAAAATTTTAAGCTTTCTCGGGAAGGTGCTGCTGGTGGCTCAGAAGAACTTAAGCGCGCTTGAAGAGAGTGTTGCAGTGACTTAGTGGGTGTTTTGCGTGAGTCAGATGTGGGACCGGGTGAGTCAGATGCGGGACGGAGTGAGTCAGCGTGTACCGCGGTGTTGTCAGCAGGGTGATCTGAATGTTGGATGTCACGCCATGGTTTGTGATGGCTGGCGGAAGCGACTGACGGCGATTTGGTCTTCTTCTTCGCGGATTTTCTGAAAACAATGACATGAAGGTCCGGGATACACAGGAGGACGTTAATTGCAACTTAATAAACTTTCACGATAGTTAATTTGCTTAAAGAACACATGGAGGAGACAAGCAAGCTGGAAACCTCATGGATGTTTAGCAGTAAGCACGTTCCAACAGCCGATCAGAATAGAAAGAAAGACACGGAATGCGGCGTCATCAATGCGACCGCATGAATGCCACGACAACAATGCGACCGCTTGAACGCCACGACAACAATGCGACGATAAGAACGCTGACGACACGAAACGCGACATCATGACGCGATGACAATGTGGTACAGACGAGTGAGAGACTAACGGACCGCTGCTTCGTTTCGACTGCCTGGAGCTCCATGGCGATTGGAGCGACACCGTCCATTGTATAGGTCGCCGATGATGCTAATGAAAACTTCTGACGATTTGCTCTAAATAAATCAATAGACTCATAGCAGTGTTTGCTGCTTGCTTTAGCTAAGATATTTCGTAATATGCATCTCGCTCATCGTTTTTACAACAAACGGTAGCGTTTTGGTGCACAGCGTAAAGACTAGAACTAGGTCTGCAAAGGGACATAAAGCTCCTTTCGGTAACTCTTTTTAGCAGCAAAGGCCTGAAATACTAGAGAATATATGTACATGGAGCACGCGGCTTTCCTACGAACACCTACTTCAACGCAGAACCCAGCAGATTATCTTGAAATGATACCTCGTAAATACCTCGGAGAATGATGGAACAGGCAAGTAGGCAAGAAGCCAAGGCAAGCAGGCGGAAGACAGTCTAGCGCGACAGTCAGCGACTGACCGACGTACATGTCTCTCTCTCCCCTCGACTGGTTAGGCGAGGCGACGGGCCAAGGAAAATTTCCTTGGGAACTTCACGGGCAACGAAATTGAAGTTTCGGTTGTCAGCGATGTGATTGGAGGGCGGGGGACCTTGGGGACTCCGCATTTGCTGGACTCCGCGTTTGGTTTTATCAGATGAGGCAACAGCTTTTCAGGGAATTACTCGTTTTAAGGCGAAACCGTTTTCAGTTTGTGAACAAAGAATCGCACTGCAATACATATCAAGTGCAGCTGACAGAACTCTTGCAGGTTTTCCCATCTGAGTTTACTTCCCTCATCTCCTTTCCTCTTTTCTCGCCCTCTACGACCAGAAGCAGCGCACGCGTAGGGTTAGTCGCGCGTCGTTGACCCGTCGTCGCTCGTCACGCTCTCACTCTTCTTTCCGTCTATTCGTTTTAGAACCTTTAAAACATGGGCGCTCGCAGGGAGACGTTTCGTTGGGGAGATGCGGAGGAGGAAGAGGAGGGATTAGATTCCGTTCTCCCGCCGACGCAGGTGATCGGACCCGATGAGAAGGGAATCAAGATCGTTATCGAGTGGCGTCTTAACGAGGAGGGTCAGCGCGTTAAGTTGACGAAGAAGATCCGCGTTAAGAAGCAACTCAAGAAGCTGAAGCCGGAGGTCATTCGCCGCCGCAGCCTCAAGAAATTCGGCGATGCTGTCGGACAGGTAAGCGCCTTTAGTTATTCTTATCTCATCTTACACCAATATTGCTCTTTTAGGTCGTCTACGGCTGTTGGCTTCGTTGGCGACTCTCGCCTACCTTCGCCGGTCTGATGATCGCGTCAGGGTTTAAGCAGCCTGATTCTTTTAGCAAGCCTGTTCGTGCCTGTACGATTGGCAGATTTTCTGTGCAACACATTCGTTCCCTCCTCCCCCCCTTTCCCTATATTAGTCTCCTTCTCCCCCCCCCCTTTCCTTTATTTTTTCCCTCCAATTCTCTCCCACACCTTCCCTCCCCATCCCCCTCTTCCCCACCTGTCTGCAGGCTGCCACTGACACCTTCACCATGGTCTTCACGGAGAATATCTTTCTCGAGCGCCCCAAGTTGGCTCAAGCGTCCCTCCCTCACGCCTTCCCGCTCCTCCCCAACCCTTCCTACCCTTCCCCACCCCTCCGTAACCCTCCGCAGATCGGCTCCGACAACTTCACCATGGTCTCAACGGAGGAGATTTTCCTCGAGCGCCCCAACCAGGCGCAGTCGAAGCAGGACGAGGCGAAACCCTCCGGCGACCTGGCGGCGATCGGGAGCGCGTCGCTCATGGTGTGCCGCATCTGCGGCAAGAAGGGCGACCACTGGACCTCCAAGTGCCCCTTCAAAGACCTCGCCGCGGCGCGCGGGCTCGCCGTCGGGGAGAAGTTCGACGAGGACGGCGCCGCGCCGTCCGCTGCCGGCGGCGGCGCGCCGTCCGGTAAAACCTCCTACGTCCCGCCGTCGCTGCGCGCGGGCGGCGCGGCGTCGCGCGCGGGCGAGGACAGCGGCGGCGGCGGGAGGCGCGGCGGCGGCAGGGACGACAGCAACTCGGTGCGCGTTACGAATTTGTCGGAAGACACGCGCGAGCAGGATCTGCAGGAGCTGTTCGGGCCGTTCGGGCCCGTCTCGCGCATCTACGTGGCGTTTGACCGCGAGACGGGGCTCAGCAGGGGGTTTGCGTTCATCAACTTCATCAACAGGTGCGTTGGGTTGGGGGGTGCCCCATGTGTGATTGGGAGGGTCGAGCTCTCTGTGGGTGGGGCAACGAGCGGCAACAGGTGCGCTGGGAGGGGCAGGTTCGCGTTCATCAACTTCATCAACAGGTGCGTTGGAAACGAGCGACAACAAGGGAATCGCCAACACGTAGGGGGAGGGGGACGAGGGAAGGGGTGAAGGGGGGATGGATCATGGAGGGAAGGGAGGAGCGTCAAGGGCGGGAGGAGGGTGGGAAGGGAAGGGGGTTCGTGGTTCGTTCTGCATTACTTGGCGCTTGACCGTGAGGAAGGGGTCAGCAGGGAATTTCGCTTGGTCAATTGCATCAGGTATCATTTTGTTTCTTTGGCCGTCCTTGTTACCCCCTTATCCCCCCTCACTCATGCCTGTTTCCCTGCTATCCCCCCTCACTTGTTGAAGAGTCACCTTGTTAATTTTTTCGTGCAATCAACAAGGTGACTCTTCAGGTGACTAAAAAATTACCTCTTTTGAGTCGACTCATATATCCCCCACACCATGCTTGTCTTCCCCCCCTGTCCCCGCCCCCGCCTGTGGTGCCTGTTTGTGCAGGGAAGATGCTGTTCGGGCAATCAACAAGCTCGATGGTTACGGTTACGACAATCTCATCTTGCGTGTAGAGTGGGCCACACCACGAGCAGATCGCGGCTAGAACTTTGATTTCGTTTTCTCAAAAGTGTCTGCCGGTCAGGTTTTTCTGTCACGTTTATGACCCTGTAACTCGAGCTGTAGTTGTGTTTTGGAATGAGCTGGATGTTGGTGGGCCCAATAAGCTACTTAGGGGATCGGCAGTTGTTATTAGGCATAAACTTGCAAGCATCCTGCAGCCTCTACCACTTTCCACATGTTGAAGATCTATGTTTACGGAATTTTGTTTGTTACGCATCCATGCAGACGATTGTGCCGTACCATCAAGGTGAATTCGTCCACAAACATTGCTCTACGGTATTATGTTATAAATCTTGCAGGTGAATACTAGTCTGCTGGTGAAAACTAGCCACCTGCAGGTGAATACTATTCTACTCTTTTTTTTTTGGGTTGCGAAACAACTTATTACGATCGATTTTGCCAGTTTTTTTTTCACATTTTGTCAAAACATGTTTATATCATGTTAGTGATGTTATGCTGTAGTGGGTTACTCCCTATGGGTTACAACCCTTTGTTAGGGTTGCTATTTGTACCACTCATCCTGCTTTAGTCAACCATCACTGTTTCCTTATTCTTACATGGTATTAGAGTAGGTACGTTCCTCAGGGCCCACCGAACGTTCCGCCCTGCCCGGACTTGACACTTTTTTTTCCTGCCCTGCTGCCTAGCGCCAACGCGCGCGTTACTGCCATGCCCGCGCGCGCCCAGCTTCCCTGCTACTGAGCGCCCTGCTGCCCTGCCTGAGCGCCGCCCTGTTCGCGCGCGCTCTGCCTGCAGCTGCGCCGCCCTGCCTGCCCGCGCGCTCTGCACGCGCACCCTGCTGCCCACAGCGCCAGCGCGCCCCGCTGCCCAACGCGCCAACGCGCCCCGCTGCCCGACGCGCCAGCGCACCCTGCTGCCCAGCGCCTTCGCGCGCCCCGCTGCCCAGTGCGCCAGCGCGCCCCGCTGCCCAACGCGCCAGCGCGCCCCGCTGCCCAGCGCGCCAGCGCGCCCCGCTGCCCAGCGCGCCAGCGCGCCCCGCTGCCCAGCGCGTCAGCGCGCCCTGCTGCCCAGCGCCTAGCGCGCCCTGCCAAACCCTAAAAAAAAAAAAAAAACAAAAAACAAGAGGCGACGAAGTCGTCGTAGGGTTGCGAAGCGATTTCCCATAAGTTACATACTGAATTTTATAAAACTTGTAGTTACTAAAAAGAAACTTATTGACACTTTATTTGGATGCAATCTGGAAAACGTGCCAGCAGGATTCGAACTGGCGACGTCGCGATTTCGTGCAGGTTCTCAATCGACTGTGCTACGACGGCTGTCAAGCGTT